CAAAGTGCGTTGTAACATAGCTTCCATAAATTCTATGCACCACTTCGAAAGAACAATTACAAAAAAAAAGCATAACTAAAACAATAAAAATCTACACCAAATAATAATTTATTTATTTCTAGCAGAGAGTTCAATGAGACTTGTCATCATGTTTAATGTTTCCCAGTATTTTCATGACACCCAATCTTTCCAGTCCTTTGAATTAAGAATGTTTTTGGAAAGAAAATTGCATTGGCTTTTTTTTCATTATATCAATAGAAAGATATACTCTTACTGAAAATTTATTATATGAAATTTAACCGATAATCTTCATTATGTGTTAATTACTTTTTCCTCAATTATTGTTAAAATGAAACAAAAAGTTTTTATTAAGATGTCATTACCACATTTAACTAAGTTGATGAGCTGGTAGTCACTTTTTAAGTTAATAAGACGTTTATATGCAAATTTTAGTGTTGTTAAAGGTGGTTATCACATGCGTAGGAGTTGCCTAGTACACCCTCCCTCTTGAGTTTTCCCATTACTCTAATGCTAATACCAGGCCCGTAGAACGCGGGGGGCCAGAGCCCCCCCCCCCACCTCCTCCCCCACTTTTTTCTGAGTAATGTATTTTGCTATAGTAAATTTTCCTTTAGATGCTGGTTGCCCCCTCCACACTTTTTGACGTTGTAAGGTCGACCACAGGCACATTGCGGGATTTGGACAGTAAATAAGCTTTTTTGCTTGTCAGATAATTTGGGAAGTCCCCCCCCCCCCCCAACTTTTTTTTTTTTTGCTTGTCAGATATTTTTGGGAAGTTGGCACCCCCACTTTATAAACCTTATAGAGAATGATCCTTTGAATATTCCGTCTCCGTAATTAATATATAGGGCTCTCGGCGGGTTTCACTGATCGACGGGGGATGCTTACTCCTCCTAGGTACCTGATCCCATCTCTGGAATTTCTGGGAATCCGTGATTTTTGCCCTGTTTACAGCTCTGAAACGAAGGTCATAGGCGTCAGAAGCAAATTGAAAGGGGGGGGGGCTAATTGAAAATTGAAGGGGGGGGGGGCTAAACCAAAACAAAAACGTTTAGGGACTAAGCCCCAATTTTCAATGTCTATATTATGTCTGTCTTTGCCCAAAAAAGTGGGGTGGAGGACAAAGCCCCCTAGCCCCCCACCCCCGGTTCCGACGCCTATGAAGGTTCAAAAGAGATTTTCTGATCACCTAATTTTCGTCCTCTGACCGTCTGTTTAGCTGTCTGTCTGTCCAATATAATTAAACTTCACATTTTTGTCTTTTTTCTACAAAACAGTTGAACCAGTTTTAACAAAACTTGTCACAAAATATCCTTGATTGATGATTATTCAAGTTTTAAAAGAATAAAAAAAAAGCTCTGTTAAGGGTGATTATAAAGAAATGGTATGCGAAAAGTCACTGGAGTGGCTATTATTGGAGAAAATTCGAAGAACTGTTTTGTCTTCATGTACTTGGGCTCTAAATCTAAAAAAAAAAATTCTCTGTATGTATACTAAAAGGGAAAAAATGCAGGGCCAACTTTTGATGTGATTTAATGATATTTTTTTTAAAGTATTTTCCAATATTGTTTTCTAACATTTACATATATCTTTAATCAACAAGTTAAGAAAATTTCATTTGATTTAGACGAATAATTCCAGAGAATTTGAAACTCATTTAACGGTACCCCCACAAAAGTGAAATCGAAAATGTAGTCAATATCTCCTATGCCTCTCTTACGCATCGATCACAGCCTTAATACTCCTGTGCATGGAGATCTTCGGTGCATTTATCTCCCTCAAAGGGATATTATCCAATCCTTCCAACAAGGTAGCCCTTAGCTGGTCAAGAGGGGCTGAGATATTCTGACGCATTTTTACTCTACAGTCCAGTTATAATTAGTCCCACAAATGTTCTATTGGAGACAAATGTGAATTGTACAGACACAGTCGGGTAGGTTAAAGTGATTTTTAGCTAGAAAGTCTTAATATACCCCGGCTACATTGGGTGGGGGTAAACATGCTGAAAAATAGGCATACAGCGCTCACGTGCACATTTGAGACGAACACCTCTGTAAAGTTGACAAGCTCGCAGACGAAACTCGCCCAATCGGTTTCTTCCAGTTTTTTTTTTTTTGTTTTTTTTTGGGGGGGGGGGGGGGGAGAGAGTGAAGATTGTGATTGCCTACTATATTATAAGCGGTTTTGGTGGTATGACGTCGCGATTACGCATGTGGTAGGATAGAAAGCCCTGTCTTACGCGCTGACTTCCCGTCGCCGTTGGTCAAAATCCCTTCCACTCTTTCTCTGGGGAATATGTCTTATGGTAGAAATTCACAACAAAATTAACAACAACCTATTGTTGCCTATGTTTGCTCTCAGGCAATGCAAAAGGCAGACAATACTGAACTTCCGTCAGCCATACCAATATTGAAGAAATTCAAATTGACTTTAAACAGCGAAAAACAATATGTATACTTCCAGAGTATCAACTTGTATTACAAATTTGTTGACATAACTGTCATCGATTTGGTTTTTTACCACTTTCCCTGCCTGAGTGATGTCATACCTTTCACGGTTGAGTAATTTTGAACACCAATTTAGGTGCAAAATGACCAAAATACTTCCCAGACAAATTTTCATAATTTTCGGTCAAGTAGTAAAATAATTATCGAATATTATGTTACCCTGCGTTTCTTTTTCCTTTCAGTATATTTTTTTTACATTACTTTGTTTTTCAATAATTTATTCCTACATAGCCTGCAAGAAATGATTTTTAGCCGGGCTCATTGCTCGAAGAGCAATGGCCGGCTTATGTTACGGTGTTCAACCGGAAATGCTGCTTCCTCAGCGCCAAATCAAATACGAGTAAGAATATAGTACGTATGCTCAACCACCTTTGAGGCAATACAAACACTAAATTAAACAAATTAAACTTAACTAATAAAGAATTTCTCTACACAAAACATGCCAAGGAAAGGTACGCATTCTAGTTTTAGAGCGAACTCAATAAAAGCGGAATTAGCGTTAATCTGTGATTTTTCCCCAGGGAGATGTGTGCGAGGCAATTAATGTCAGCAGTTTTGAGGGAAGGATCTTAAGTTTTACTGGTTTGAAATTAAAGCTAGAATACTTATTATTTAGAAGCCTTTGCACCTTTTTACCTGTTGTTTGTTTTTTTTTTAAAAAGGGGGGGGGGATTTTCCATGCAAATCATATGCGGTTAAAAAAGTAAAAAAAGAAGAAAAAGAAAGTGAAATAAATTGTAGTGAACTAATTAATTGTTCAGTAAAAATTAAACGCCTTTCAAATTTTTCAGTGTTTATATATCAAAATATCGGCCACGACAGACCTAAGTCGATAAAAAAATAGGTAGCAACTGTTTCTTCGCCATGCGCTCGGCACTTTGGAGTGAAAGTTGCGGGTCTTTCGGATGAGACCTTAAAAACCGAGGCCCCGTGTCACGGCAGGCGTTGGCACGATAAAGATCCCTCACTGCTCAATGGCCCTGAGTGCCGAGTAAAGGTCAAAATTTGAAGCCCTTCACCGGTATATGGTGACGTCTCAATATGAGCGAAAAATTCTCGAATGGGACGTAAAACAATATACAATCAATCAATCAACCTAGTATAAATTAACATCGGGCACGATGAACTTGGTTGTTGTGGAAGTCTCGCGCCTTACTTTAAGGTATCATACCGGTAATTGACCAATGAAAATGAACTAAGTCAATTGTAGTTCCATACATATAAAATTATTATTTTTTCCTTTTGAATTTTATTTTAATTTCCTTCCAGTCTATTTTTACAATTTTGGTACCTGTGTCTAGTGCATTTTACATATTTTGTAAATAAATAAAGGTTTTTGACAGGAACTATTTTTTTCAGGGCATAGGAGGCTACTTCCTGGGGTAGAAGTTTATTTTTCTTTGACTAAGAAAACGGAAAACTTAGGATCCACTCCCTCAAATCTGCTGCCGTTAATTGTCTCGCCAGCGTTAGGGGAATATGGGTGATTTGCATCAATTACACTTTTATTGACTCCATCGCTGTGGAAAAATGGACGGGATTTCTTGGCATGCAAAACAAAACATTAATGGTAATATACTTTCTCCATATTTCTTCGATTAATTATTTGTTAGAAATTTTTCACCAGATCTCCTTGTCTGGGTCACGTTCTATAAATAAAGGTTGTTGTTACCAGGCTAACACTGATGCGGGGAGCATGTGACCCGACATACACCTGGATGCAAAACTCCCCACTGAGGACTCATCTGTACATAAACGTTTGACCTTCTGCATCAATGTTCATTTACTTATGTAAGTGGTATAAGACCCGAAACAATAAAAAATGTTAAATTCAAACTGCGTTTTATTAATTTTTTTTAAACATTTCATATTTTACTATATTATGCAATATATTTTTTTTTGTGTGTTACATATTCTTCCAGTGTCTGAACTCGTTGTTGTTTATCTGTTATTACAATGTACATATATGAGGCGCCGTTTTGGTATTTACTGCCAAAAAGTGATATCACCTATTCGAATAGGTGATATCACTTATTCGAATAGGTGATATCACCTATTCAACTTGAATTGGTGATATCACCTATTCGAATAAGTGATATCACCTATTCTAATAGGTGATATCACCTATTCGAATAGGTGATATCACCTATTCATTTTGAATTGGTGATATCACCTATTCGAATAAGTGATATCACCTATTCGAATAGGTGATATCACCTATTCGAATAGGTGATATCACCTATTCATTTTGAATTGGTGATATCACCTATTCGAATAAGTGATATCACCTATTCGAATAGGTGATATCACCTATTCAAAATGAATAGGTGATATCACCTATTCGAATAGGTGATATCACCCATTCGCATTTCATATTATATTAAATAATGAATGGTCCCTTCTTTGAGACAAACACTCGGTACACCTCGACCGATTCGTGAAGGAAGTAGAATTATCCGCGGTTTGCCTAGTGCAAGACTAATATGGCAGCTGCGGAAGCAAAGGATGACATCTTAAAGAGTATTCAGAGAATAATTCTGTCTTCTCAGCGGTGCTTCAATAATGAGGACGTTGATTGTCAAATTATTTTACAAAATTTACAAAATGGAATGCGATCGCTGAATTCTATTAAAGAATCTCTTGATTTGTTGAACTTTAGAGCCATACACAGCGCCATTTCAGGATTAATAGATCAAATACAGTTAAAGATGCGCAATAATACAGAAAGCTTCTCATTTTCGGCACCAAGGGGAAACAATTTGGGTAAGTTTTACACATAAGTTAGTAAACAGTCAGTGGTAAAGGCTACCAACAAACCATTTTCAACAGGTCCATGTAATATTTTCATTTCGTAAATACTGAGCAAATTCGGACTGGACATTTACATGCACACGATCGCCACATGTCAATTTTGCTATATTATTTATATACAGAGATGGAATACTCCTTATACAGCATCTATATACGCTTGCAGTGCCTGCAAACGTGTGAGGTTTATAATTAATCTGCTTGTCATTCTTATAGTAATTCTCAGGCATTGTAAATTATGTTGAATTTACGAACTTCGAAGCTTGATTGAAGGTAAATAATATGTAAATCTGAGAGATATATTTACTCTCACTCCAGTAATCCCAGGATAAGTTAGTTTACTGAGAAATTGTCACTTAATGCTGATTCAGAAATTGTTCGATTTAGATTTATATCGATTTCGCGTTACTTTTGACACATGTTTAAATTTCTGTATTTGTCTGTTTGTAATAAAAATTTGTATGCATTAAACCAGGAAATGGTGGAAGACCAAAAGTAAACATCACAGAAGACCAACTGAAGATGTTGCATAATTTGAATTTTACTGCAAAGCAAATGGCAGAACATTTTCAATGTTCTCCTGAGGTTGTTTACAGAAGGCTGAAAGCAATTGGGCTGCACCAGAGGGACAAATATTCTACGATGTCAGATGAAGAGCTAGACATAGAAGTTCAGGAACTCCAAAAAAAATTTCCAAATGCTGGAAGTGTGGTATGTCTTTGATTACATCTTTTTTTTTTTTTTTTTTTTTTTTTTTTTTTTTTTTTTTTTTTTTTTTTTTTATACATATATTAATTTTAATTGAACATTTATTGTCTTAAAAAAAAATAGCAGTATCATGATATTAAAGCAAGCAAATATCAGGGACCTATATACTTATAGTTAGTATATAGGTCCCTGCAAATATATAACAGACTAAATGTATCGAATTGAAAACATCATGCATGTATGTCACTTCCATACAAAACTGGGAAGCCTGTTTTGTCATAATAAATGGACTTGGCATTGCATTTTTGGTACTTTGTTTAATATTAATTTTAGAAATTATAATTAGAGTATTTTCAATCTGATTAAAATCAGCTGTTCTGATACCCTACCGCTTACTTTCGTAAGGGGTAGCGTATCAGAACAGCTGATTTAATCAGATTGGAGTATTTTTGTTCAGCATTCTCCTAAAATAATTCTCCTAAATAGTTGTGTTATAGTATATGATATCGATTTATGTACTTTTTTAAGCTCACACAAGCCAAAGGATTTTAAAAGTGAGTTTTTCTGATCGAAGATTGTCAGTTTGTTGTATGTCATCTGTAAACTTTTCAGATTTTTAACTTTTTTTCCCCATAACCACTGGACCAAGTTCAACTAAACTTACCACAAAGTATCATTGGGTAAAGGAGTATTCAGATTTTTTTTTCAAATGAAGGGTCGCACCCCCTTTCAAGGGGAGATGCATGATTAAGATGCAGTGAGAAATTGCATGGTTGCATCTTTCAACAAGGGCACCGCAAAGCAAAGCATCCCCTCGAAAAGAGCATATATATCTATAAATCAAAACAGCATTGGACATCGATCCTGATGCAGATTACTACACTTCTGTTTCGTACAGCCCTTTCTTATTCACTCACTCAAAAACTGAACACACACGATTGCCTTACTATATCCCCTCCATGTCCATTGTGAGGGGATAAAAATCTTATTTAAGAACCATTGGCCAGAAAAAACACTTTTGTGGAAGCTTTCTTAACAAGTGTAGATTTGTTCAAATACATGTCATTCAAATCATGACTCCTTTGTATGTAGGTAGGGGCAACAAAAGGGAATCAAAGTTTAACATTAGGATAAATATGAAAACATCTTTAAAATTCTTACTCTCAAGAACAGCAAGGCTATGATTTGGGTTGGGGCAACAATACAAGATCAAAGTTTTTCCAAGATATATTGATAAGCAAGCATTCTCCGGTAGTGCAGATTTAAGTTGGTACAAATAACCCCCCCTCCCCCTCACACACACACACACACACACACACACACACACACACACACACACACACACACACTAGGATGAGGCCAACTTATTAAAGTTTTATTTGCAATATATAAGGGGAAAAAATCTTTAAAAATCTTCTGCTCAGGTGAGCACTGTGGTCCATGGGCCTTTCTTTCATTGTAATGTTATATGTTACAAATTTTACTGTACTGTCACACTGTAAATTTGAATTTACTGCCTCCTGTTAATTTCAGTACATGTACTTAATACATGTAGTAGATCAATAATCTCATGAATCATTGTTTCCAGATGATGTATGGTCTATTGAGGACAAAGGGCATACAAGTTCAAAGAAAGAGAGTCAGGGACAGCATTTCAAGAGTATGTCCAGTGCCTGTAGCTCAGCGTTTGGGAACAACAGTATCGAGAAGACAATACCAAGTTCATATGAGCAACTCCTTGTGGCATATGGATGGCCATATGAAGCTTGCAAGGTATAATATATGAATATAAACTTCAAACCATCCTTATCCCCAAATAGCAATGGTCATTTCTGACATAAAGGAATGGTTTTCACAAAATGTTGAGTTTATCTAAAAATTATGCATGTTGATGCCTATTCCGTGATGGAAATGACAGGAAAATACAAGTTGGTTTTCTTTGTAAGGCATAGACATTAAATATATATATTTAAAAACACTTTTTTTTTGCCAAATTCCACTGATGAAGCTCAATACCTGAAGTTCATTGATCATATAACTTAATTTGTTTTAGATGGGGCATATCAACACATGGATGCATTGATGGCTACAGTCGGATTGTTGTGTTTCTAAAGGCAGACATAAATAACAAAGCTAAAACAGTTCTTCAACATTTTGTAAATGCCTGTGAGCAGTATGGGATCCCATCTCGTGTTCGCTCAGATTATGGCAAAGAAAACATCATGGTATCTATGTTTATTACTATGGTAAACGGACAAGATAGACATAGCCATATCACTGGCAGGTCGGTGCATAATCAACGTGTTGAAAGACTTTGGAGGGATGTTCATTCTCAAGTGATACAACAGTATTATGACAAATTTTACAGAATGGAAGACCAAGGCCTGCTGGATCCCGAGAACAAATAGACATCTGCTTGCTGTCCAGTATGCTTTTTTACAAGATATAAATGCTCAGCTGGAAACCTTTAGAGCAGCATGGAATGACCACAAGTTATCTTCAGAGAACAACTTGTGTCCTCACCAGCTCTGGATAAATGGTATTTTAAAGAATGTGAATTCATCCTGTATGGCAGTAAGAAACTTGTATGGACCTTCACTGATACAAATCATGGAAGACTGCATTTCAAAATATGAGATTGATCCTAATCTCAACATTGAAAGAGATGTGGAGGAGAATGCACTGACTAGAGCACAAGAGGAACAACTAAAGAATAGATTGGAAGGTGCAGCTACACCTGAACAGTGTTTTCAGAATTGTTTAAACTATTTTGATGAGGTCCAAATACTCTAAATCATGTAAATTTGTGCTCATTGTAAATTAACTGAAAAGATACCAATCTATTTTATAGTTAATGTAGCAAAATTCTGGGCTTAACTTCAAAGTAATATTAAAGTTATTTATACTTGTTATATTTGACTACAATGATGTATGTTTTCACTGAAAAATTTATATTTCTTGCAGGAGGGAAAATCATTTCTTAAAATTTGTTATGAAAACTATTGAAAAGATGGAGATAACTCGATCTGTACAAGTGTACAATTTTCATATTTTAAGGAGTGCCATTTTAAAAAATTATAATTTGAAGATATCATCATTTCTTTTATTTGCAAATGGTCAAGAAAAACTGAAATCTTTAGTCAAATTTCTGTGCATGGGCATTAATGAAATTGTTGATAGGATTATGTATTTGCTGAATAATCAATTTTTGCTATCTTCAAATGATTTCACAGTAATGATATCAACAAGTAAATTGATGCGAGCTATACGAATTCGATTAAAGACAGCAATAAAACCATAAATATATGTATTTCTTTGGTGACCATTTCTACTGAATTCCTAATCTTGGTACATGTATCATGTTGATATATATATAATGTTTTTCCATTATGTTGAATCTGCACTTGTGATGTTATTTTGATAAATCTTCTTTAAAGGTGATCTTGAAACTTGTCACATGCATTTCATCTTCATGTATTTGTTAGCTGAATCAAGTTTTTTTTTTTTTTTTTTTTTTTTTTTTTTACTCCTAGGACCTTCAAGTCCTATTTTCATTTTCATCAAGTCACTCAGACAGAGATAGTGGAACTCTTATGATGAGGAAATTTAATTGATAGAAACAAACTTCTTAATATCAATATAAAGATTGGTTGTAGCTGCATAATTTTTAGCATGTTATGGATGAATTATTATTAATTGCAGCTTCATGCTATCTTTCACTTAACTTTTGGCTCTTAATTGTCTTTTTTAGCTCACCTCAACAAAATTGGGGGAGCTTATGTGATATATAAACCCTTGGCTCCCAGATTAAGTTTTGTTATAAAGTACTTCAAAGCCCAACAATAATCAGAGATGCATAAAAGATGCTTATAGCGTGGTTCGTTGTACCAGTCAAGGTTTCAGATGCTGCAATTTCAGCTAAGGAATGACCAGGTTAATGTTTTTGGGGCAGGTAAAGGTTTTTGAGAAGGTTAATGTTTTTGGAGCAGGTTTCATTTCAATTAACTTTGAGCCCTCTGTTGACCAAACTTGCATGAATTAACATCTATTAAAGAATGCAAATTACCAGGCTTACTTTGAATGCTGGATCTGACCTATATTTTTGGATGAGTGACCAGGTTAAATTTTGAGCTGGTTTATTTCCAAGGTAACTATAAGCCATATGTTGACCAAACTTGCATGGATGATACATCTAAGGATGCACAATTGTAGGCTTCCTTTGGATGCTGGATCTGACCTACATTTTCCAGACAACTGACCAGGCTAAAGTTTTTGGTGCAGGTTAATTGCCAATGAAAGCAACAAAAGAGTCATCAATTAAACAAAACGTTTTCTTTGGTTGTTAGTATGGGAATTTATGTTGCAGAAAAAATGCATAACCCACATATGCTGGTTATGTAATTTTTTTCTGCAACATTTATTCCCATACAAACAACCAAAGAAAGACATTTTGTTTATAGATGCACAAATAATCCTCTAAAGTAGGACTTAGCAAATTAAACATTTTATTATTGATGTGCATGTCATTATGTTTCATTAGAGTTATATCCACTGAATATTATCGCCTTTATTTCTTAAGAAAACCATTGCCATTTATCAGTCGGTAAACACCACTAAGTATATCACCTCCACAGATTTCTTAAGCAGTGGCTGATTCATCAATGAAACTCACAATAACATACATAAACAATAAAATGTCACTGCAGCTATTGCCATTTACTTACATGTAACATTGATTATCTCAGTGATACATATAATTAAATAAGCAAAGAAAGATTATAAAGCATTGAAGAGAATTTAATCACTTTATTTTAAACTGAATTAAAACCACAAGGGCCTCAACGGTCACCATAGCTTCTTAATACATGTACTTGCTTGACAAAATGAAAATATCTCTAAAGTTTTCCTCTTTCTAGAGATGTTGCATCTCAAATTGATTAACAACACGATAGCAAACAAAAAAAAAGATAGTAATACATCATGAGACTTGGATGAGCTTGTGAACAAGAGAATACATAAAATTAACAGATGGAATACTGTCTCTCACTTAGGGCCAAGTTTATAAAGTAATGCAATCTGAAGGCTACAGCATACCCTGTAGGAAATGCATTAACTTGCATGCTGTATATATAATTTTCTTGACAATCCTCTAAAATCATTTGCTAAATAGTAGGTAAAATAAAAGAGTAATGCATGATATTCAAATGAGTTCAATCATGACTATACCAAAGCTATATGATGACCTTAACCTTTGATCTGTGACCTTAAGTTTTGAGCCTTCATGATAGTAAACACATGAAGTATGAAAATATACTAAGTTTTGAGCTTTGATGCTAGCCAACACATGAAGTATGAAAAATGTACAGGAAAACGGAACTGCTTTTCATTACCTGGAGGAGAATATTTCATTCATTGATGCATAATAAATAATCAATTTATGTCATTTTGAACATGCTTAAAGTTGTTTAACAATATTAAAGTTAAAGATCAGTAACAACTTTGACCTTTGTTCTTAGGTGGGGGTGATGGCCAATTAAATGGACATTATTTGCCTCAACAAAAAATTTTTGGCACTGCAAAAAAAACACCAAAAAAAAAAAAAACAAACAAACAAACAAACAAACAAACAAAAAAAAAATAAAGAAAATCACCATACATTGGTATAAAATGCAATTAAAATTGTAACATGAATATTACTGACAAAAATTTAACAAAAACATAATACATGTAAAAAGAAATTCCATTATACTATTCCAGGCAAAAAATGACCTTGGTTAAAAAGAAAAGCAGATAAATGAACAACTCCCTAAAAGTTGATAAACAAGCAGGCATAAAAAATAAGCTTCTGCACTAGCATTTTGATTTCAATGTCCAAGTGGCAAGTGTAGAGACCCATGGGCCACAATGCTCCCCTGAGTAAATATGGTCCTCCTTGTTCTTCATCAGTATTCTTCTTTCTATATACATTGTATTCCTATTTTAATCTACACTAGCTGAAGATGCATTCTATTGGTATAAGCTGACAGGTTCACAATTCCAACTCTGTAGTTCTTAAAATGTATGCATGTAAACCTTAATTTGTTAATTGTAAATCATAATTTCGTCAATTGTTCTATCAATATTTGACAATATGAAACTATCCAACATATCTTGAGAATTAAGTGTGAAATGTACAATGCTCAAGTGTAGGTTGATCGTATACTTGCCATTTGTCAACTTGTGAAATGTAAATTGTATTTTTGAACTATGCAAGGTTGCATTATGCTAATGCCTATCAAGACAAAAGATGGTGCTATTAGGGTGTCATGTTATAATCAACTCAAAGCTAAAAAATATACCGGTACTAAACTGAACTGAGTTTTGTAATAAGCATGCATATTATGCCTTTAATCGGTTTCTGGCCCCATGCTTTTTGAAATTTTAAGGTATTTCAACCATCCTGTGATGTCATAGGTTTTTTTTAAATTTTATGTTGTGATAATAAATTATTACTCTTCCTATTCTCTGTGTAACCAGAAGTCTCTGATGAGACTGTAGCTCTACTGCTCTGTTTGTATAACAAAAGAAAAGTAGCACTTGGATTTGAAACATTGCAACATGCAACAATAAATAGAATTATGTATCTTAATGTAGTCTACTTTTGTGACAAGTTATATTGAAATCAAATGAAAACTAGGAGTAGTAGCGTTTTGAAAGTATTTCACGGAAATTTCTATTTTTAGTAACCATGACAACACCATTCACCCAAATAAAAAAAAAACAGAAATACATATTATGTATCGTAGTGTATTCTAACTGTGTGCCAAATTAGATTGAAATCAGACCAAAATTGTAGGAGGAGTAACGTTTAATGGGAATTTCACAAAAATTTCTATTTTAAGTAACCATGGCAACACTGTTCATCGAATTCAAAAACCAATGCAAAAAATTATGTATAGTATAGTCTTCTTGTATGCCTATTTGAAGCAGACTAAAACTGTAGCAGGAGTAGCGTTTTAAAGAAATTTCACAGAAATTTCTATTTTTAGTAACCATGGCAACACCGTCCATCGAAATCAAAAACCGATGCACTAAATTGTGTATCTTAGTGTAGTCTACTTGTGTGCCAAGTTATACTGAATCGGACTAAAACTGTAGGAGGAATAGCGTTTTAAAGGAATTTCACAGAAATTTATATTTTTAGTAACCATGGCAACACCATCCATCGAAATCAAAAACCGATGCACTAAATTATGTATCTTAGTGTAGTCTACTTGTGTGCCAAGTTATATTGAAATCGGACCAAAACTGTAGGGGGAGTAGCGTTTTAAAGGAATTTCACAGAAATTTCTATTTTTAGTAACCATGGCAACACCGTCCATCGAAATCAAAAACCGATGCACTAAATTATGTATCTTAGTGTAGTCTACTTGTGTGCCAAGTTATATTGAAATCGTACCAAAACTGTAGGAGGAGTAGCGTTTTAAAGGAATTTCACAGAAATTTCTATTTTTAGTAACCATGGCAACATCGTCCATCGAAATCAAAAACCGATGCACTAAATTATGTATCTTAGTGTAGTCTACTTGTGTGCCAAGTTATATTGAAATCGGACCAAAACTGTAGGAGGAGTAGCGTTTTGAAAAATTGTTTACAGACGGACGGACGACGGACACCTTACTATCGCATAAGCTCTTCTGGTCTCTGACCAGTAGAGCTAAAAATTTCTTCATATGATCTACCCTAAATATTTTTTCTGAAGAAAAAAAGGTGCTTCATACCTCATAGAATTTTTCATTTGAATCTAATTCTATAGTTCTTGATGAATTATGATGCGAATAGTAATTAATTTAAACTATATTCAGTGAAAATCTTTTTTTCTACTCTGAATCCATAAAATTTTGAGGGTGGAAATACACTGTACCATAAATGACCCCATCCAATTTTACTCAAGTATTTCTTGATTATATCCCCTTGGGAGAGGGTATGTCTCCCTTCATTTGAACAAACTTGAATTCCCTTTGCCCAAGGATACTCTAGCTGTTTGGTTGAAATTGGCTCAGTTGTTCTGGAAAATGTAAAAAAAACAAGAAGTCTGTGAACCAATGCTCACTAATAATACCCCTACTCTCATGTGGATACACAAGTTCAGTTATGGACAGACACAGTGATAAACAGGAAGTTGACATTGGACTTGTACAAAAATGAATACCACCATATGGCATGCCTAAACAAAGAATGTACGTGCTAAAATTTCAAGTATCTGCGATGAGTAGTTGCTGAGAAAACTGCCACCAAAATTTGTTATGGACAGACACACAGAAACACAAGGGTAAAACAGCATATCCCCTTCTCCTTCAGAGCGGGGGTATAAAAATGTTTACAATGAACTTATCTACAACAATGACAACAGACAATTGACAAATTTTGATCTAAAAAAGAAATTTGTAATCTTCAATACAGAGCTAAAAAAAAAAGCAAAGTTCACTCCAAAAGGAACCCTTCCTTATTTACTCCAAAAGGAACCCTTCTGTATTGAGGATTCCAAACTCCAAATTGAAAACAAATTCCTCAAAGTCACATGTTTGTAATGGAAGTATTAAATTGTTTGTGCAGGTTATTCCTTTTGGAAATCTTTGGTAATGAAAAGATATGGTAGGTTTCGGATGAAACCCCAAAGGTGGAATAACTTTGGACCCTGTACAGAACTGTAGTATTTTGGAAAAGGTGACTTTTGCTTTACCACCTGTAAAAGAACAACATGTGATCTATCACTATCTTTAAAGATTAATACTCATTTTATTTTTTTCTTGATAATGCACATTCCACTTACTTTCTACGTCCTCTAAGAAGTCTCGCCACAGGGCGACAATTGCAGTTTCCCTTTGTCTGGTGTTGCTCATTTCAGGAGATAATGTATATGTAAAGATTTCCTCAAATATGACCCTATTCAAAGTTACATTCTTCTCCAAGAACAGTTCTTTCAGACTGCTCAAATTTTCCAGGACACCCAATGTTTGCAGTCCACATCTAAATCTTCACACATAGAAACTAACTATAATGACCATATTTTACATTGGACAACATTTATATCTGTTTTATGATAAGAAAACAATCATGGAAATTTTAAAAATTTTGATATATGTTCCATATTATAGCTCATTGAAAATTACATGAAAGGAAAACTTTAATAGTCTCAGAACATTTAACTTATCTTGAAGTGAAAAGTTGCATTAAATTCAGTTCTGTCCAAATATGAAATTTTCAATTTACCATTTAATTTTTTAAAGTTCAATTAATCAAATCAGGTTACCTCTCAAATGATTGACTTGCTCTGTCAAACAGGTATGCATGTACAACTTTGCTGACAAGAGAGTTGGCCTGCTCAGGGGAACAAGTATAATAATCAATTCCTGCATAATTTAAAAATGGTATATCCTCCAATGCCTTGTGCAGGTCTTGTTGGGATCTAGCATCAAGTACCTGGAAAAAAGTTCATTGCAAGTTATTGTTAAGCTACCTACATCTCAAATCCCTCCCTTCTCCATAAGCTTGGAGACCCAAGAAATGCCAACTTCTTCCATCTAAACTTGAAAATCTTCAGGATTCAAATCCCTTCATAAGAATGTACATGTATGTTAGGTATTTGAATTATTGGAGCTACATTTAGCTCGAAACTTCAGAAAGAGTCAAATATTATACACTTATTTCATAACTGCGAGGGGAACTGTCAAACTGTTGTCCCGAGGTAATGGGGCAGACCTGGGAAACTGTTGCCCGAGGCCGAAGGCTTGTTATTGATTCAGCAGTTCAGAGAATAAGTTGAAAATGTTCCAATGTTAATGCAGGACATGACATTTAATTTTAAACTATCTGATGATGCTTCCATGTCAATATAACAAATGTCAAGTTTGGTTGAAATTGGCCCAGTGGTTCTGGGTACAATCCTACCTACTTTGAAATTGGCCCAGTGGTTCTGGAGAAGAAGTCGAAAATGTGAAAAGTTTACAGACAGACGGACGGACAGACGGACAACAGACAAAATGTGATCAGAAAAGCTCACTTGAGCTTTCAGCTCAGGTGAGCTGAAAAGGTGTTCTTGTCCTCTTCTTTCAAAGGATATTAAAATTGAATACATGTTTATATGGGTATCAGGATTACTCTTCAAATAATAATTTCAAATTTTTTGCCATGAAAATGCTTCAATTTATACATGATTCAATATTATAGCTGTAAAGTATGGGAAATTAATTATGACGTCATAATGGATTAGTTCAGCCATGCAACAGTTCATTCTGTGACCAGATAAACAGTTTTGACTGTTTCATGATGTGCAAAAAACATTTAAGTGAATCAGGAAACAGTTCAAAATGCTTATAATTACAATTTAAACAGTAGGTTAGGTAATAATAAGAACTATCATATACATCATGGAAAAACATTTGCCAGTGTTGCTTTACTTCTTTTGCCCCCCTCCCAATAAAACCTTGGTCTATAAAAGGCAATAACCTTTTCCAATTGTGTCTTTAACTCAGGATCCGGCATATCCTTCAAAAAAACCTTTGTGTGCATGGGTCCTTTCTCCAAGGCCTCTACGAGACATGGGGCAAAACAGTGTGGTGCCGGTCCCCCATGAACTAAACAAACTGCTATCATTAACCCAGCATAGAAGTATTCATCTTTGTCATTTGCTGCAAGGTAAAAAGAAAAATAGATTACAGCTAGTGCTGTAACTGTAACGGATTTTATTACAGATGTTCCACATAGGCTCCCCTTCTCACTTTTGATGGGCTATTCCCTATATAAGCTCATATCTGGCAAAATCTTAATTTGTATAATAAACTAAAACACACTGCATTTATTTCAAAAATGAACTAAAACACACTGCATCTATTTTATAGTTTTTTACGAAAAAAGAATTTAAAGGTCAGTGGGATTTACAGATAATTTTTTATCATCAAAAAGTGTTCAACAGATATAATACACAGTACAAAAGATGGAATTAAAATAAATCAAATGAAACTAGAACTGTCCAAAAGGGACAAATACCCCCCGCTGGGTTTTTCAGAGAAGGTACCAAATCACTACTGTTTTCTAGATGTGAGAGGTGTTCACAATTTGCTAAAACATTTAGAGTGAAAATTTAATTACTCAGTATTTTTTTTTTTAATGAATGAAACTAAGGTGCAGCCTAATAAAACATCAATACTAGTAATTACAGTGTTTTTTTATTACATTGAAAACATAGTTTGCAACTATCTGTCATCTTTGTGAGACATGACACTCTGCAAATTGATTGTTGAAAAAAAAATATCATAATTAATTATACAAAATCAAATTGATCTTAATACCTTTATATCAAACTCATTTTAAAAATAAAAGGCTGGTTCCAGTAACTATGTATTTTGACAGACATAAATTACAATTAAGAGACTTAGACAACAGAGATCTTTATTTCTTTCTGCCCAATTCCCAGGAGATATAGATAAGAGCTGCTTGATCAGAGATGCCCTAACAGCTTCCCACACTGAACTCATTAATTAATCTTTAACTGGATGCATGTCCACTCATTACTCCCAAGGGACAAATGGATTTACACTATCTGCTGTGTAATGTAAAAACTGTTTTTAATACTTTGTGATTTTTTTTTAGTTCTAATGAGTAGTTTTAAGCTGTAGTTCACATTTTTGTTCAGATGTTCTAGATTCTATGTCTCAAACCTTAGACATGAACCCGAAATGACTAAGTCAATAAAAATGAAAAAAAAAAAAACACCTGCAAAATGCAGAAAAATTATCAAATAATGTTGAAAATACCAGGTGCACATCTTCATAAGGTAAATAATAAGTGTACAAATTTTCATACAAATCTATGCAATAGTCTCTGGGAACAGATCCAGACAAAACAACATAACAAAAATGAAAAAAACACCTGTAAAATGCAAAAAAATTATCCAATCATGATGAAAATACCAGGTGCACACCTTCATATGGCAAAGAATAAGTATACAAATTTTCAGACAAATCCTTGCAACAGTTTCCAAGAAATGGTCCGGACAAAATCTCGTCTACAGACAGACGGACAGACAGACAGACGGACAGACAGACGGACAAGCTGATTCCAATATACCCCCCCTAAACTTCGTTTGCGGGGGGTATAATTATATGCATAACTTGTTTGATATAATTTATTTAGCTAACTGGGTATTTACAATGATATTGCCTTACTAATTGATTTTTCCCATTATGTCCAATTTTTTTTTTAAAGAATGTAAAAAAGCAGTGGAGTACTTGTGTTTAGAATCGGAATGTTTTTAACAGATGACTATATTCAAAAAATGTAACAATTTCCGATAATAGTTCTCACCTGATTTGAGCCAAGAGAGTGTCTTACTATTGTCTGGTCCTTCAAATAGTTTGGAATTCATGATGTATTCCAGAATAAGACTTAAATATTCCCTTTTAGGGCCTCCTTGGTCAATTCCAACTTCAGTGGAACCAAAGTCATCTGAGAATTTAATAAGTAGTTCATTATTTGGGTCAAAGTCTTCCCTCTTTAACTTTCTCAGGGTACACTCCCAAATTGTTGGTCTGTGAATGTTAAATCTGGTGACTTGATCTTTCTTGATAGTTGATGATAGCTTTGTCAAGACAAAAGACATATCTTCTCTGAAAATGACAGTAAATTGACTGAAATCAAATGATTAAATTCTCCTATATGTAACGTATTTTTGGCGTAATATGGAGAATTTAGCCTCAGAAAGAAAAGTATAAAAAGTTAGTGCTTAGCATATTTTGGTAGAATTTAAATATTTTTATTACAAGTATTCATTTCACTGAAATTGAATTCTTTACTGTTTAAATGTTTCATCCATCTCTAACAGCTAATTTTTCTGCTGAAAAAAAGCTCAGTAAACAATATACTATAAACAATGTCAGACTCCTCAGTCCAACACCTCCTCGACCCATTGACATTTGGCCCAGTGACATTTCCGCTCAGACAGGTCGGACCATACATAAAAAACCTCGGCCCAAGCAAAATCTTACTATGAAATGTATATATCTTTATACGATAAATTATATAGACATATAGATCTACATGTATATAAGCAATAAAATGTCTTTCTTTCTTTTTTTGTTAAGACAAGATTAACGGTCGCAACCATGATATTGCAGAAAAAAATTTACTTTTTCCAAAAGAAATAGATGTAAATGAAAGAATGATCTAGATAAGTTGGAAAATATAAAACTGTTATCTATCAAAGAACTCCCCACCATCCCCCATTTTTTTTAAATTGTTTAATCATCAGAAAGAATAATTACACCATTACTAATAAAAATTCAAATGATGGGTTAAACTATTTTTTTTCCATCATAAAAAATTTTGCCTGGGCCAAGGGGTCTTTTATATGGGCCAAGATGTCAACAATCTTGGGCGAGATGTCGAGCGTGACGGGCTGAGGTGTCCTTAGGTCGAGATGTCCACTTACCGAATTCATCACCTCATAAATAAATGTCCAAAAAAACTGTTGTACACAGATACAGAACTGATGGGAGGCTTTACTTCTTGCTATGCATTTAAGTTAGCATCAAAAAATGATCAATTTTTCTCCTAACCTGACAAAATTTTATGGAACCACCTGTGGCCAGATTTGGCAAGGTAACTGCTACTAAGTATTAAGAACCTACATTTCTTGATTGTCATCTTGAACATCCCTAGATTTCTCCATATCAAATTCCTCCTCTGATTCATCAATACAAATGACATTTTCTACATAGTTTCTGAAATGCATAATCATTTTATATCAATGAAAAATAATCAACAGTGTGAATGCATAAACAACAAAAGTGTTATGTACAAACTACACATATAAATTAATGGACAATTCTAGAAATGCAATTAATATTTTGAATCCATAAAAAAGTAAAGTAAAATAGTACCAGCAGGGTTGTATAGCTAACCTGTATGTATCAGACACAACTGCCTGTGTTGCATGTCCTGGTATGCTTCGTTCTGCATGACTAACATTGTTATTTAACTAGAAAAACATTTAATCTAAAGTTTAAAGAATGCTGAATTGTAATAAATACAGATGTCCATGCATGTAAATGGATTTTCTCTTACATGTATCTAACATTCTTACCACTGAAAAACTTGCATTCTCTTCATCAGATGAGACAGGAAGTACTCTTGAAAGTTCATTTGTTCCCTATTATGAATATATAAAAACTCAAATCAATCTTAACTTTCTCTGATAGAATTTCACATGCACATGAAATTAACACTTATGCAGACAGGATGGGACATGGAAAAGAAAAAGGAACAAGAGGCCCAGGGGCCACATCGCTCACCTGAGCACTGTGGCTAGGAAAAAAGGAAAAATCAGTTCAGTATTGAAAAGCTTAAATGCATAAGTGGTCCCAACCTACCCCTAAAAGGGAGTGGGGGGGGGGGGGGGTACGATTTGAACAAAATTAAATCTACTCTAACTAAGGATGCTTGCATAAATTTTGACTGACTTTTTTCTCTACAAGTTTGAACTTTCATTGTGGCCCCACCCTACCCTTGGAGGTCACGATTTGAACAAACTTGAATCTACATCATCTGAGGATGCTTCCATATAAGTATGACCAATCAAAGCTTTGCTGTTCTTGAGAAGAAGATTTTTGAAGATGTTTCCTATATATTCCTATGTAAAACTTTGATCGTCCATTGTGGCCCCACCCTACCCCCAGGGGTCCTGATTTGAACAAACTTGAATGTACACTACCAGAGGATGCTTCCACATGAGTTTCATCTTTCCTGGCCCTGTGGTTCTTGAGAAGAAGATTTTTCAGTATTTCCATTTCTATTTGTTTTCTCTGTGATAACTCTTTAAAAATTAGGAGAGTTGATTTCTTGATCATTCTAATGGAATGCAAATTTCGCCAAGCGAAAGGTCAGGAGCTAAGAAGGCCTAATATGCATGTAATCCTCGTGCGGCTGTCTTTGTGTTTGACGTCAGTGGGCGGGGGCTATTGAAATTGACATGTGAGGCCTCGTATAATTTAAATCTATTAGTCTACATTTTTAAAATCTAAATTTACAATTTTATTTCACAATGAAATGGAAATATAAGGAATCACTATCTAGTTTGTAGAGTATGCCAGGGACATCAACGATAGTTTGAAACGTGGGATAATTTATGCATAACGGGCTTCGTCCGTTATGCAAATTATCCCACGTTTCCAACTATCGTTGATGCCCTGGCATACTCTACTAACTAGACAGTGATTCCTTAAATAATGCCATTAATTTTTTGCCATTTCGTAATTATCTCCCCTTGGAGGAGGGCGTGGCCCTTCATTTGAATAAACTTGAATCCCCCTTACCCAAGCATAATTTGTGTGTCAAGTTTGATTGAAATTGGCCCAGTAGTTCTGGAGAAGAAGATGAAAATGTGAAAAGTTAACGACAAAAACAACAGACAAATTTCGATCAGAAAAGCTTACTTAAGCCTTCGGCTCAGGTGCGCTAAAAAAACCTATCATTTTCTACAGGTAAGGAATCTAGGGGGGGGGGGGAGGGTATCACCCAAGGTCTCCATTGAGTTAACTGCAATACTGCCAGGACTGCTGCCAACTTTGACATGGAAAAGTATTTAAAGTCAAAAATATTTTGATTCTGTAAAACTGTCATCTTAGTAAAACATGAATTTCTACAATTTGGTTGCTGAGATCTAAAAATTAAATAAAATAAAAAAATATTACTTTAAACAATATCTAACTTAATATCATAAAATTTTATAAATAAAGGCTAGTCAACAAAAATTATTTCAAAATCACAGATACTAACAACTCCAATTAAGAGTCTAGATTCCTCTGCCCTTTATTCCCATGAGATATAAACACAAGCTTGATCAGAGATTCAATATACTACAGTTCAACTTTGTTATCTCGAACAATGATATCTAAATTACCATGAATATGTCAAAGAAATTTTGATGTCTCATTACTAATAGAAGTATTTTATTTTTGATATCTCGAATCCTAGGATATCTCATGGTTTTCTTCTCAGTCCTATTGAGTTTGAGATAATGAGATTTGACTGTATATGACACTGGGTACAATCCTACCTACTTTAGCAACTTACTCTGTTACACCATTCTCTAATGTGAGCACGGGCTCTTGATGCTGCTCTCCTCCTTCTTCTTTGTCTCACTGTCATTAACGGAAGATCTGCCTAGTAGTAAATAAATTAATAAACACAGACTGTGAAAATTGGATCTTCTGTATACCTCACTATCCTGAGAAAAGAGAACACTTCTAATGCAGGATAGAAAATAAGCTTTTAACAAAGCTAAAATATATTTACATGTACGTCTTGCTCAGTTGTAGATAAGGTGGAAAGTCCTGGATTACAATCATTGGTTGTATCCTGTTTTAAAAGAAAAGCACTGTAAATTTCACTATGAATAAAAGATTTTAATAGGAATTTATTCCTGTAATTTTTATCTATAAGAATACATAGTCATTTATAAGGATACTTGTATAAGATATACAAGTACATAGCTGGTCCATAACCTTAATATTATCAAATTGAACTTTCTTACCACTGATAAACTTGCTTCAGAAGAGATGGTGGCGGGAGGTGCTCTTGATATTTCAACCGTTCCCTATTTTGAAAATATAAACACCAAAATCAACCACAATTTCCTTTTTTTTAATCATATTTCATATTTTAGTCTACTTTGAGAAATTTTAGTTGTTAATTTGTCTGTTATTTCAATTTGGAGTTAATTCCTAAAAGTTTAACTTACTATTGAATTACATCAAGTTTGGTTCAAGTTTCTGTTAATATTTGGAGTCAATTACACAATACAAAGTACCACATGACAAAATCACTTTATGGTACAGTATAAGCCTGCTACAAAGCAAGCTAAATTAAGTGAAATGAAAAATAAAGATTTTCATAGCAAAATCCCTGATACCTTTGGCAGCCATTCAACCTGTATTACAGAGTTACTCTTGAGCCATTGAGAAAGTGTTCCTCTAGATGAGTGATCAATTTTGGATTTGTCTGGTAGGATAAGGTTAAAAAACTCAAATGCCTCATCAGAACTTCCCACATAGTCCAATACTGCCTGAATAACAAACAAAACTTTTTTTAACTGCATTTAACAAAAAAATGTACACTGCCTTATACATATTTTACAATTGTATGTTTGTTTTATGAAGAACTATCTACAGTTTGCAAATCCCTGTCACTTTCTCCCATAATTCATTAGAAAAGTATGTGTTAAAACAAGAGGACAATAGGCTCTAGCAACAAAGAAGTCATGCTATTATACTGAAATTTTTTGAAAATATTAACATTTAATCTGTGTGCAAGTCCCTTTAATGGATGACAAAAAACAAGGCTATATAAAAATAGTTCCTACTTAAGTGCAAGTTTTAATTCTTCATGAATTTGAACACCTTAATTGACAAGGGAATTTTTTTTTTTTACTTATTCAACTTGCATTTGATACAGTAATTCATTTAAATCTAGGTCAATCTAAGTAAAATTTTAACTGCATTGTGATTCTACGCTGAAAGTATAGTTAATATTAAGCTTTTATCCCTACATCTTGAAAAAACTGAATGGTATTTTTTTTCCTATCTGCAACTTGCCTGCACAGAGTCTGTGAGGTTAAATTTCCTCGTCTTTATATCCCAGCTTTTGCTGGTTTTGAACTTTAGAACAATGCCTTCTCTTGGCTCCTCCATAACTCTACCTCTTCTTTGTCTCCTTACCTAGGTTGAAATATTTTTACTTTTATTCTAGTTTTAGTCTATCTGTACTCAAATGCTCTATGTGATAGAAAAACGGCCGTTTTTCACCTGTTTTCTTCTTCAGTACATCAATAAAATTAAATGTAAGATTCGGTGAATATTGTTTAATTTTTTATTTTTAACATGCAAATATATGTGATATTTATTCTATTTTAATGATTATATTAAGATAATATTCGCTGTTAAAGTAAAAATTGCATTGAAACAAGAAATATGTCTATAGGACATGAATGCCCCGCTGAGGGTATATAAGTAATGCAACATGTGAATTTGTATTAGTGTATGAAATTGATGAGAATATCTTGAATAGTTTCTTTAAAATTGAAACTGAAATCTAAAAAGTTGGATATAGATGATAAATTCTCACCAAATTAAGTACAAGTGCATAAACCTACAAAAACATGTCTTAAATGGTTTCTTTAAAATTAAGCAAAATGAAAACCTAAGAAAAGTGAAGTCAAGGTCACAGAAAAGTTCAAGGTCAAATGTTTTTGATGCAGTTGAATACTTCTCACAAATACGTATCAGCATATTTCAGTTTCATAAAAATATTTTGAATGGTTTATTTAAAACTGAGCTAAACACTAGTTTAAAATAAATGAAGTTAAGGTCAAAGGAAAGGTCAAGGTCAAAAAATGTTGATGCAATTGAAAAAGTTACATCAGTATGTATTAGCATATGAAGTTTGATAAAAATTATCTTGGATAGTTTCTTTGAAACTGAGCTTTGAAGAGAGCTAAACACGAAGCGTGACGGAAAGACAGATGGAAGACGGACATGACAAACACTATATGCCCCGGCCATATTCATGGCGGGGCATAAAAACAAGGATTTTGATTTTACTGGTCGCTTGTTTATTGCCATGACGGCCGGTAAAATGGGTATGCAGTAACAAACACACATTTGAATATGGTATTTTTGACAGTTGTTGCAATAAAACAGTAAACTTTTGAATAATTCCGATGTTTCACTTGTGTTTTACCAGCTATGAAAATACATTTTTTTCAATAACAAGTGTTATTAGCTTGGTATGCCTTACAATAATCCCAGAGTTTTCAATTTGCTTGGGTTTGCTTACTCAATGTAATAGTTCACTTGTTTACAATCACTAGGGACTAAAACAGAGAGAAAAAGATTTTTAGTGCGCTGAAAAGTCGAGCAGACTATTCAATTTAACAAACACCGAAAATGGAAAATGCCGCCGACGGTCAATTTATTGCAGAGGAAATCGGCAGAAATACATGTAGGATAAAACTGTGTGCTAGTCAACTATTCAACAATATAAATATACCGTCTGTGAAAGGAATATCACGTGCTGAAAAATGATTTTATGTTGTTTTTTTTTTAAGTTCAAAAAGTCTACATCAGTTTTCAACCATCAAACATGGCAACTGGCTAGGCCGTTGGATGCTTTCCAACTATATATAGGCAAAGGATACCATGAGAGAGTGGGCGGGTCCTAATCAACCAATTAAAACACATGTTTTTAGGAATGTAACACGTGATTCAAATTGTTCAATTGTCAAATCCAATAGTGTCATCACTCAACAACAGTGTAGTGTATACTTCAAGCAAGATTTTCGATAAACCCCCATCGCCCAAAACTCTCACATACCTCATCTAAATGGGCATCTGTTTGACTTTCAATCTCTCCATCCTCCAAATATTGCAATGCCTAGTTAATGAAATTGTAAACACCTTTATTTTTTAAATTAAGTTTCATATCTTTAATATTTACAATTTAGGAATAGAAAACAAAAAAATTCAGTGTATATAACCAACCTTCTCCTGATCTCTTCTTAAAGACTCTTCAAATTCACTGTTCTGCTTGCAGATCAAGCAGAACGGTTCTTGATTTTCTAGTGTATGATGACACTGGGGACACTTCAAAATCAAAGTCAAAAATTTTACAATACAGAAACAAAATGCCTATGGGCCACAATGCTCACTTGAGTCACTTTAGCACTGTTGTTCTGCATAAGATTTTTTCACAATATATATGTATTCCTGTGTCAAATTTTGATTGCCATGTGGTCGAACAAAGGGGCCATGATTTAAACAAAAATGATTCTGCAAATCAGAGAAGGCTTCAATTATTATGATTCATCATGGCTTGGCTTTTTTTTTTTAAATAAAGCTGAGTTTTAAAGACTTTTCACCAAATAACCCCTATTTCCCCCCCCCCCCCAACAAAAAACACCGGGTAACAAAAATCTGAAAATTTATAAACTACACTACATCAGTATGGTTTTACCTAAACTTCATCTTTCCTGGTTTAATTGTTTTTTGAAAAGATTTCAAAAATATTTCAATGTAAAACTTTTGATTCCCTACTGTGGCCCCATCCTACCCTAGGAGACATAAGGTGAACAAATTACAATATAAACTACACCAGAAAGCTTTCACATCAGTTTCAGAATTTCTGGTTCTATGGTTCTTGAGAAGATTTTAAAATTATTTCAATGTAAACCTTTGATCCCCTATTGTGGCCCCATCCTACCCCTGGGAGGTCATGATTTGAACAATTTAGAATTCACACTTCCTATAAGTATCAGCTTTTCTGGCCATGTGATTCTTGAGATTTTTCTTTATATGATACTTCATTATCAATATATTTAACATGGCCTTGCTACTATTCTAGAAAAGATCTATAAAAATATTTTCCTTTATACTTGCATGCATCTTAAATAATCTTTCAGGTAATTTTAAAAAAATCAACAATTATAAAGTAAGCTGTTGCTTTACTTACAATATTCACAGTTGATGGTATGCTTTCAGTTTCATCAGATCCTGAACTTTCCTAAAATATTTTTTTTTAGATACTTTGAAAAATAATCTATTTTTATTGCAACATCCAGCCCCAAAATGAAATAAATATATCACTACAACTAAGACTGTCAAGGTTCCAAAATATTATGGATCCATTTTCATTAACAAACTTCTATCGTATAGAAAAATAAAAAAAATTGTCCACATTACAACTTATAACTTCCTAGTTTTCCTGTCGTTGTGTGCAAGACATTGCAATGTTTGGAAAATAGTCCTACAGTAAATTTGCCTAACAATTTTCCTGCTCAGATATACAGCTGGCTCCGGCCTTTGCACAGCCATTGTTTTCAACGTTGCTTGAGGTATTGATTGTGACTTCACAATGCCGCTGCACGCACTGACCCTTCAGTGAATACGGCTTCAAATCCAGTGAATATATAGTATTATGAACTGTTTGCGTTTGTATAGATTATATAGGGACTATTCATAAACTATATAATAAAAATCATTATCAAAAAAACCTGATTTGTTGCACTGAAATTATCAACTTTGATTAAGCCTGGACATTGGTGGTTACTACTAAGTCTACATATTAAAGACATGGCCCCTTTTGGTCATTTTGACACTTAATTATCCCATCCTTTCGCAACAATTGTTTTGTTATAAATGAAGTAGATATTGTTTAATATTTAGTTGTGATATATTTTACATAATGTGAACATTAATTGTCATTAAGTCCACACTTTTGTGATACGCATGTAATTTTTTTTTCAAAATGATTTTATAATTAATACATGTAATACAAACCAGACCTAAACTGAAATTTGAAAATGGAACCAAGACTGAACCGAAAAACTTTAACGGCATTTTTTAGTCATTTTTGGGAACCGTGACTGCCCTAACTGCAACTCCTTTCATGATGTAGGAGCTAGAGGCTGTAGATGACAAACAATATATCAAACAATAAATGTCCTTTACAGATGAAAAAGCAAGAAAATTAACTATGGTTTTATCATAAAATGCAATTTTTTTCCTTTAAAATTTTAAAGAAGAACATTAAATCTAATTCTGTACACATTACCTCCTCAGAATTTTCAATCTCATTTTCCATCTCATGATCTGAAATCTATATATAAAACATGTCGGCTAAGATCATACCATTATTATATATTTACATTTCCAAATGTGTTCTCTCATATAACACTACTTGAACAAGCGTTTTTACACCTGTGTAAAACAAGTTCGTTATGTGACCATAAATTGATTGTTTATATAGTCATAAACGATCTACGTAATTTCAACACATTCAATTTATACCGTTAAGTTTTGAAAAAATAAATCAGTTATAGGTTTAAAACTTTAATACATAATTATTTGTAATAAATCAGTCACAAATGTTAATAAAAGAAATAAGGTATCATTTTAAAAGTTTGATTGGGATATAAATACGAGTTGGCATGTGATCAAATCTACCATAAAGCCCTTCGGCTTTATGGGATATGATCACATGACCGACCCTATTTATATCCCAATCAAACTTTTAAAATGATACCTTATTTCTTAAATATTAATATTTGCCATGCAATTATATGGAGACAATATGTCTATTCAACATAAAACACTGGTACATATCCTATTTCTATTCTAAAATGTGTACTTACATCTGGCAAATCATCCTGGTAACTTGTTTCAGGCTCCATCAGAGTTCTTTTGGGTATAACAAATAATTTCCCCCTACGTACACTTTTTTTCAGTTGACTGACGGACTGAAAATCTACCTTTTCAATTTTCCTTGTTTTTGATGCCTTCCCCAAATTAAATCCAACCAGGTTTAATGGGATTCCTTCAAGACATAAATATAAAACAAAACTTTATAACTTTACTAGTATAGTCTGTATTTAGTAATGCAGTTTACCCTTTGGCAAATTACCATTTGCTTCAGCCTTGACAAAAAACAAAAAAACCACACACACACAAAAAAAAAAATGAACAACAACAAAAAAAAACAATGAACAAACAAACCAACACACAAAACTAAAAAAAAAACCCACACACATTAAAACCATACTTTAACCCACATCATGTAAACACTGTCAATTTTATAACAAGAGGCCCATGGGCCACATCGCTAACCTGAGCACAATGGCTAGGAAAATGCACAATCCAATTCAGTATTGAAAAGTTTACCGGGGGGGGGGGGGGGGGGGGGGGGATTTGCTGTTCTTGGGTAGAAGATTTTTAAAGATTTTTTCCTATATTTATATTCCTTTGTAAAAATTTGATACCCCATTGTGGCCCTCCCTACCCCCAGGGGTAATCATTTGAACAAACTTTAATCTACACTACCCAAGGATACTTCCATATCAATATGACTAAACATGGTTTGCTGTTCTTGAGAGAAAGATTTTTTCTTTTATATTCCTATGTAAAACTTTGATTCCCCATTATGACCCCACCCTACCCCTGGGGTCATAATTTGAACAAAATTGAATCTACTTTACCTGTCAGAGAATGCTTCCATATCAATGTGACTAAACATGGCTTTGTTGTTATTGAGAAGATTTTTAAATTTTTTCCTATATTTATATTCCTTTGTAAAACTTTGATTCCCCCTTGTGGCCCCACCCTACCACCAGGGGTCATGATTTGAAGAAACTTGAATCTACACTATATAAAAAAGGTTTCCTATAAGTTTCAAGTTTTTTGGGCCAATGGTTCTGGAGAAGAAGATTTTTAAAATATGCCACAAAATTTTCACTATTTCTGAACTATATACCTCCCCTTGAATGAGGGCATGGCCCTTCATTTGAACAAACTTAAATCCCCTTCACCCAAGGATGCAAGGAGGCAAGTTTGGTTGAAAATGGCCCAGTGGTTCTGGAGAAGACGACGACAACGTGAAAATTTTACAGACGGACGGACAGACAGAGGGACTGCAGACAAAATGCGATCAGAACAGATCATTTGAGCTTTCAGCTCAGATGAGCTGAAACCTGGTAGTAAATTAATTAAAGCCATTTTGTTGATTTGTTTAATATAACATTATATATGAACCCTTCTTTAATGCCCGTTAAGGTCTTTTAATTAAGACAGAGACCTGAACATATTTTGTTACATACGGAAATATGTACAAATATGAGCTGACAATATAAGCTAGCTGAAATTGTTTTTTCTGGATTTTTTAACGTGGCTTATCTCCGTTAGTCAGTAAAGCCCCCTCGCTGTTCAGATTTTTGACTGACCCTTGTAAATTGAGGAAAGAGTCTTATTCATTTGCAAATTAAAAAAATGTTGAAGTAGAAACTTATCAAGACTGTACAATGAATATAGTATTCTATCCTTTGTTTTACCTGGATACAAAGAAAGTATGTAGTCTTCAAGTTCCTTTGTTGTCCATGATTTTCTCAGTGAGCACCATTTTTCAGCATGTTTTGGTGAGCCTAGTATATGCAAATATTGCAAAGCATGATTATCTTTACAAAAGGCACGGTTGTTGAACCAGAAATTTATTACAAAAGGATCCCTTAGCTACATGTATTTGGATAAGGATGATTGGAATATTTCTGTAATTTTCAAGAATATATAAAACAACAAATTTTTAAACTTTGAATTGCTAGAATTGGTAAATTTCATTTTTAGTTATTTACCCATTCCTTGGTCTTTCTGACAACTTTCTTTGCAAATTTGTGGAAGGAAGACTGTCTGTTGGCTCCCCAAGAAGAAAAATTTTGAATTTTAACACTGCTTTGTGATGTCCTCTTCCTTTTCTTAAAGGTCCATCTGGACAAACAAAATCAAAAGTTTTACAAGGTAATTAAAAATTCAAATCATATTAATTTATTTTGAAACAAAAATGTTACCAAAACCTTAATGATGCAAATTAAATATCCAGGATTTAATGGCATAGAAAAGTACAAACACGATAAAGATACCTACATGTAGAATTTAGAAAACGTAGAAAGCATTCTCACTTTCTCCCCAATAGATGACTCTCACATTCTTATGAGTTATCTCAGATTTCTGGCAAAACACTCATTTTTCTCACTATATTTGTAACATGCCTGTAAATATTTTCAACCTTTAAAAGTGAACTATCCCTGTATTGCATGGCTTAATTGACCCTTTTTTGGTACAGGGTCCTGTGCCCTTTCAATTGAACAATTCGCAAAACTTTTAAGTATTGATGTACGTATCATATCAATTTTAATGTTTAATAATGAGTTAATTTGAAGGCTTATTCCCTATCCACATCTCCAATAATCATTAAAATCTCAAAAATTTAGTTAATATTAAAAACAATGAAAAATTCAATCTGCATGTCATTTGAGAATTTTTACCTAAATTTTGGGGGAAAAGAGAGTAAATTTTCAACTGGGAAAGGGTCCTTTCACAGGGCCTGGATGCAAGAGTTATTAAGCCCTGTATTGCCATGACAGACCTCATTTTAAAGTGTGGACACTTTTTTTTAATATAAATACTTTTGTCCCATGCAAGAGCTATGTTTGGTGAAATAATTGCCAACTTCGCTTTTCAAGAAGGAGAGAAGTTTCAGCTGCCATTCTATTTTCATTTACCATCAGAAAATCATCTTCCTTAAATTAATTAGAGAGAAGTCTTGAGAGTATAATAGATTCCCCCCCCCCCCCCCAGCCGTTTTTGTAGCAGCAGTTCTGAAAATCGTATCTAAATTAGTGATGCAAAACATATGGTATACAGTTGTTATTGAAGTATTTCATGCCATTTTGAGACACTTATATGATATAGCACTGATCAAGCAAAAAGAAAAAAAAAAGGAATATCATTTGCACAAAAGTATTCAGAAACAGTAATGTTTAAATGATGTTTGATTAAAATTGCTTTTTTTATTGGTCCATTATACAAATACGAAGAGTCACATACTTGCGACTTAAAAAAGCGATAAAGGCATAGGCCTAACGCTGCACAAATGCTGATGTAGTAGACCTACTTATTATTTATACTTTACCAGTGTTCAAGCTAGGGTGAAATGGAGGGGCTCCGCGCCCCACCCTTAAATCAGTGCACCCCTCTGCCCTCCCAGGTGCCCCTGTGTCCCCTACTAGTGGCCTGCATAATTCTGACTGTCCTTTTCCCTCATTAGATTAATTAGTGTGTTCTAATTAAAGTAGATTATCTATGGACAATCAGCAATGCACACCTCCTGCCATGGGTGATATTACGTAATGAAACTCGCATTAGGGTACCATGTACTATACAGGTGCCCTTTTTCAATTACAGGTGATTAGGTAATTACTTTGATCACTTGGCAGTCTGAATAGGGGTTAAAAGCTGAAATACTTTGAGAATGTCCAAGCTATCTGTTTTAATATAAAACAAGAGTCTTGTCTTATAGCGTTCTAAAAATAAACACGCAAGTGTAAGTAGCATTAACATTGACCTTTAATACTAATTATAAATTGTTGACGTTTTCTGAAAAATGAAGGAATTTAATATCTAAATAGCACAGAAAACAAGTACCGGGATATTATTTTCTCATTAATGAGGTAATTTGACACACTGAAAGGAATTTTAAAAGATTACAGATAATATGTAATTGTGTTCCATTTCATTGCAAAAGTTTAAAATTAATTAAATTAATTATTTGCCACCAACCTGATCAATATGAAAAAACAAGGAATATAACCTACAAATATTTAATCAATTTTAATACATTTGCCAGAAACATGCATACTCATTTAGCTATAGTACATGTATAGCTACATGTACTGCAATGATATGAGACACCAGCTAGTTTATATGAATTATGGTGCTATTATTGAAAATAGGAATCAAGAATAGAAGATGATTCAAAAAGAGAAAGAAAACTTACGTAACATTTATCCTAAGACGATCTTTAAAATTCTTTTTTTTATGTTTACATATTAGCTAAAATTAGTATGTGTTTATGTATCTTTCAAATCAATAAGGTTAAATAAATTAATAATATTGAAGGAGTTCAGTAACAAGGTATAATAAATTGATCATATTTGTAGGAGTTTAATATTATGAGGGTGAAGTAATGAGATAGGACTATGTAACAAAAGCTCGCGACAACGGTAAGTCGCAAAAAAGTGCCCTTCTCTTGCACCCCTCCATTTTCAGATCCTAGCTGGAACACTGTTTACCTTTAGGAGTAAAAATCTTAACAGTCTGTTGATAAAGATTTTCAGCAGCATCCACTGAAGTCGATGTTGTGGCATTTTCCTGGCCTCTTTCCGCCGTAATAGCGGAAAGGGCAGTTGACACCATCTCATGCAATTGCGACCTTCCCGCCATATTGTTTACAGTTTCAGTAGCTTCCCGCTCTTCTTTAAGGCCCCTGATTGGCGTACATATATTGATTAGAAAATTCTAAAAAAAAAATATCTATATATATATACTGAAAAATAAGGTGCTAATAATTCAGAATTATCCAAATTAAAAAAAAAATAAAATAAAATGCAACAGTGAAGTGTCTTTATGATCGAGATTAAAGGGCGGCCACTCTAGGAACATCATTCCTGGGAGCAGTAATTATTTCAGCTTTAGTTTGAATAGGTGATATCACCTATTCGAATTGGTGATATCACCTATTCATTTTGAATAGGTGATATCACCTATTCGAATAAGTGATATCACCTATTCGAATAGGTGATATCACCTATTCATTTTGAATAAGTGATATCACCTATTCGAATAGGTGATATCACTTATTCGAATAAGTGATATCACTTATTCGAATAGGTGATATCACCTATTCATTTTGAATAGGTGATATCACCTATTCGAATAGGTGATATCACTTATTCGAATAGGTGATATCACCTATTCGAATAGGTGATATCACCTATTCATTTTGAATAGGTGATATCACTCATTCGAATAGGTGATATCACCTATTCGAATAAGTGATATCACCTATTCAGAAGCTGAATAGGTGATATCACTTATTCGAATAGGTGATATCACTTATTGAATAGGTGATATCACCTATTCAAATAGGTGATATCACTTTATGACAGTAAATACCAAAACGGCGCCTCATATACATATATGTTTCATGTAAAACGGTCTTTGTTCACTGCTCTGTAAATGAGCCCGGCTCTCTGTACTTCTGAGTACTTTGATTTTTTTTCATGACACAATCAATAGTTTTGTGTTTAATTCAGTTTTGTAGATTTGTATATTTGATCAAAATATTAAATGAGATACAATATTATTTATGCAAAATTCAAGCTAATATATAAGAGGAAAAGTAGAAACTTCATTATGACTCTTAATGTAAAAAGGGTTTTATATTAAGGGTATTTTTAACACTTACAATTGCAATGTATAAAATAATTAAACTGAATACAATGAAATATGTTTTGAGTTTTTAGCTCACCTGAGCTGAAAGCTCAAGTGAGCTTTTCTGCATGATCACCCGTTGTCCGTCGTCCGTCCGTCCGTCTGTCCGTCCGTCTGTAAACTTTTCACATTTTCGACTTCTTCTCAAGAACCACTGGGCCAATTTTAACCAAACTTGGTACAAAGCAACCCTGGGTGAAGAGGAGTTTAAATTGTTTTAAAAAATGAGGGGCCAAGTCCCCTTCAAAGGGGAGATAATCAAGAAAATACAAAAATTGGGTGGGATCATTAAAAAATCTTCTTCTCAAGAACCACTGGGCCAGAAAAGCTGAAACTTATCTGGAAGCATCCTAAGGTAGTGTAGATTCTAAATTGTTCAAATCATGACCCCCGGGGGTAGGGCGGGGCCACAATAGGGAATCCAAGTTTTACATTGAAATATGTAGTAAAAATCTTTAAAAATCTTCTTCTCAAGAACCACTGGGCCAGAAAAGCTGAAACTTACTTGGAAGCATGCTGGGGGAGTGTAGATTCTAAATTGTTCAAATCATGACCCCCGGGGGTAGGGCGGGGCCACAATAGGGAATCCAAGTTTTACATTGAAATATGTAGTAAAAATCTTCTTCTCAAGAACCACTGGGCCAGAAAAGCTGAAACTTACTTGGAAGCATTCTGGGGAAGTGTAGATTCCAAATTGTTCAAATCATGACCCCCGGGGGTAGGGCGGGGCCACAATAGGGAATCCAAGTTTTACATTGAAATATATAGGAAAAATCTTTAAAAATCTTCTTCTCAAGAACCACTGGACCTGAAAAGCTGAAACTTAAGTGGAAGCATCCTGGGGTAGTGTAGATTCCAAATTGTTCAAATCATGACCCCCGGGGGTAGGGCGGGGCCACAATAGGGAATCCAAGTTTTACATTGAAATATATAGGAAAAATCTTTAAAAATCTTCTTCTCAAGAACCACTGGACCTGAAAAGCTGAAACTTATGTGGAAGCATCCTGGGGTAGTGTAGATTCTAAATTGTTCAAATCATGACCCCCTGGGTAGGGCGGGGCCACAATAGGGAATCCAAGTTTTACATTGAAATATATAGGAAAAATCTTTAAAAATCTTCTTCTCAAGAACCACTGGACCTGAAAAGCTGAAACTTATGTGGAAGCATCCTGGGGTAGTGTAGATTCTAAATTGTTCAAATCATGACCCCCTGGGTAGGGCGGGGCCACAATAGGGAATCCAAGTTTTACATTGAAATATATAGGAAAAATCTTTAAAAATCTTCTTCTCAAGAACCACTGGGCCAGATAAGCTGAAACTTACTTAGAAGCATCCTGGGGTAGTGTAGATTCCAATTGATCAAATCATGACCCCTGGGGATAGGGCGGGGCCACAATAAGTACTACAGGGGGGAGAAATCAGGTGAAAAACAGCAAGGCCAAAGTTACTCAGGTGAGCGCTGTGGCCCATGGGCCTCTTGTTATTATTATTAACTTAATCTACATTTTATTATAGGGTTGTGAAGAAATATCTATATTTTTTGTCGAAATGAGAGAGAAAAATATATATGTAATGTTGTCTGATTTTTCATGTCTTACAACGTCAGATCTAGAAATTGTAATTAACACACTGGTTTCTTTTTTATGGCGCTGTTTGAAAGCCAGATAAAAAAAAATATTTACTTGTTCGGACATTAGATATTCGTTCGGACAAAATAGATATTCGTTCGGACGAATTAGATATTTGCTCGGACAAATTAGTACTTTGAGATAACCAGGGTAAAACGCTTAAAGAATAAGAGGTTGGTACTTATAAATCACTTCGACATACCCATGGTATTCGAGATATCAGTGTATTAACGCACATTTAATTTACAATAACTCTAAAACTATATGTACATAGCTGTCCAAAGTCAAGAAATACACTTTATCCTACACTAACCCGGATGGAAATTGTCAATCGGCAAACCTCGGCTGATTCCGTCACCTTCATGGATGAGGTACGAATCGGCCGAGGTGTGCCGAGTGGGAAATCTGTCTCTAAGCATACATATTATACCTCCTCTCCTAGCAGCAACAGCGCGCTAGACCACTCAGCTGTCTATGCAAATCAGACTTGTTTTCGATGCCGATGGAACTTTTGACTTGCCTAGATAGTCGAGAAGTCTAGCGGGCTGTTCCTGCACTGTTACACAGGATGAACCTACATGTACACCATTCAGTCAACTGAATGGTCACTGAAAGGTCTGGAAAGGTCACTGAAATGCAGAGTTCTGCCATTCAGTCACCTTTCAGTTACTAAGCAACTAAGCAACTGAATGGCAGAGTTTCATCCTGTCACATGTAGGAGACAGATTCCGCGGGTCGAACGTTCAACCACAGTTTGGGGGCGGGGATGAGTAAAAAATATATTTAAAAAATATTAGTTCATTTTTGCACAAACAGCTAACAAGAAAACATTATGCGTACACCTTTGTTAAATTTCAGTCAGGTGAGCTCATTTATGGGTGTTAAGTAGATGTTACGAGATGAGATGTGCTTGCCTTTTGATAATGGACCTGATAACAAAGTTAACGCTATTAGAAGAAATTCTGAAGTGGCTAAAAGATTACTAGGAAAAAGATTATCTGTTTTATGTTGACTAGCGTTTTTTTCATAGTTTGGTATACTTTAGACATGCAGATATAATGTACCGTAACGGTTTTAAATAATATGTCATTGCATGAGACGATTCTCATTGTATGAGATGGCATGTCAGTCAAACAACTAAATATCTGGTTTGTACAACATAGTCTCGTTTCGCCACTTGGAATGAAAAATTCACAGGTACTTGTGGACAAATTATCTTTATGACACATTTTATCATGTGTTCCACAAGAAAGCCCTACAATAATCGTTCCACAACAAAAATTACCCCACTGTACATTATAAGAGAGAACTCTCTCTTAATCTTTTAATACTAGTATATGGTGAGGTATTTTTTGTGGAACGATTACTTTAGGGTTTTCATGATTTTCCCCCAATGTACATCTGGCAGCAGCCAGATAAAATATTTTCAGAACCTGGCACCTACTGGCTTCCGTATTAGTGTGATAAATACAATTGTGAAAAAAAGTCTAACAAGCCCTGGGGTTGATCGGGGGGGGGGGGGGGGGGGGGATATGTTCTTGTCCACAAATAAGAAATGTGGAGAAATTATGTCTGTTACACGTTTTATTGTGTTCGCTCGACTTCTGCTGTTTGCTTGAGTAAAAATTATTTCTTGCGTATGACCTTTTCTTTTTTTGCATGACTTTATTTGCAGCCAGATGATATTCTTATTGCTATAATAAGTCGAAATAATAAATCGTAAGTCGTAATTACGAAATACATGTAAGTTGCACTCGTGATCGACATAATAACTCTAACTTTTAATTACGAGATAATGTGTCGTACAAATGCTATATACTAAGTCTTATGAACGACATTAAACACTGCAAGTTGTTAAAATGAGATCCCCACCCCTGAACTCGATTTCATCAGTGTGCAGTCTACAGAGAAGTGCATTTGTTGTAGGTAATTCAACCCTTGTGTGAAGTCGTCGATTTTTGCGAAATCTTTCATATATTTTACTTAGTGCCCAACAGAAATGAATCTTTTGGAAGAATGTTTTCAAATATGTGCTATTAAAAATATTGTTTAAATATGAAATATTGTTAATGAAAAGATTTTTTTTAAATATTTCCAAGATAAAAATTCAATTATTTTACCAAAAAGTGTGATAAGGGCAATTACTCTTACCTGCTTTCTCTTATTACAAGTACATGCAAGTACATTTCTAATGAATTTAAAGTTACACAATTATTAAAATTCATTATTAAAATTTTGTTATTTGGAACAGTTTGTAAATGATTTTCAATGTGCTTTTTATACAAAAAATGGCATTTTTTTTATCCTAACAGTCAGCAACAGATACGCATTTATCTTTGTCCTACACTTAACAAAGGTGTCAACCTTAAAAATTTTTTTGTAATTAATGATTTTAAACAATGGAAATTAATGCCAACTCTGAACTCATAAAAGTGTGAAAATGGAATCACTTAAAAAAAAACTTTCATAAATCATTATATTATGTATGATAAAAATGTATGATAAAAAATTGGAGGGTGGTGTACTCAATACATTGATAACAATTAAGACTTAAATTAAAATCAATTTTAAAAATCTGTTTTCTGTAAAGTTTCTCTGTTACTTTCCCCATATGCTCAAGATATTATTCATTATTCATCTCTGTCTTGCAACAAGGCTGAAATGACAATTACAAATAAAGTAAAAATAAGTTGTTTTTTCTGTCATAATTTTTATTGGCTAAAAATAATTTACAGTTTCATTCTTTAAAATGATAGAAATATTGAAAGACACTGGGTGTGAGTAGGATTGCTTGAGCCTATGAAATGACCGCTCTGTACGGCCGTATACTGTCCACACTGGGAATGTTCATCTGACATCTCGGACACGAGAAGTTTGGATCAGCCTTAAAGTTACTCTACAAGAAAAGACAACCACAAATATATCAAATATTTAAAATAAACAGTGGTAAAGTGGTTCATTCCAAAATAAATTATTGTACAATAATTATGTATACATGTAAAAAAAAATTATTTTTATTAACATGATTTTTTATTATCATGATGGTAATTAGTTTATAAATTGTTGCTGTTATTTTTATCTTAAATACTCCCTTGAACTGAGAAGTATATTAAGATATAAACAGAGAGCTGCAGATGCATGTATCCTTGAACAGGATGTCAAGTATATACCCTGTTGACCCATTTTTATTTGAGAAAACTTAATTTTCCCATAACTACAAGCCTGTCTGCTCAAAAAAATTTTCATTCTCACATTTAATTCTATTATAAAGATTATATGCAACAATCAACAAAATTCATGAAACAGAATTATCTCGCAGAAATAAGGTGTCAAATAAATTTTTACAATTCAAAGTACTGTAGATCACTAAATTTTCGTGACACCATATTTTCGCTAAGTAGACAATTACTCTTTATTAGAGAGAAAAAATTTTCACGAATTGTAGTTACTGCTCTATATAACCTTAAGGAATGCTATTATACATGAGAATGATATTTTTGTTAGCAAACTGTCTCGCGTAATTACTCGAAAATAAAGTTCTCGCAAATAAAAAGTGATTTAGAGTATATGTACATTATTTGTCCAAGCCTTAAGGGCTTGAATTTTAAACTACCTGATGATGCTTCCATGTCAATAAGACTAAACATAGCTTTTCTGTTTTTGAGAAGAAATATTTTTTCTATATGTTCTTATGTAAAACTTTCGACCCCCATTGTGGCCCGACCCTATCCCCGGGGGTCATCATTTTAACAAACTTGAATTTACAATACCTGAGGATGCTTCCATATCAAATTGACTAATCATGGCTTTGCAGTTCTACAGAAGTAGATATTTTCCTTTATATTTCTATTTAAGACTTTGATCCTCCATTGTGGCCCCACCCTGTCCCCAGGGGTCATGATTTGAACAAAATATAATCTACACTACCTGAGGATGCTTCCACTTAAATATGATCAATCAGGGCTTTGTTGTTCCTGAGAAGAAGATTTTTAAAGATTTTTCCTATATATTTTTATGTAAAACTTTGATCCTCCATTGTGGCCCCACCCTACCCCTGGGGGTCATGATTTGAATAAATTTGAATCTACACTACCTGAGGATGCTTCCATATAAATATGACCAATCAGGGCTATGCTGTTCCTGAGAAGAAGATTTTTAAAGATTTTTCGTATATATTTCTATGTAAAACTTTGATAGTCCATTGTGGCCCCGCCCTACCCCTAGGGGTCATGATTTGAACAAACTTGTATGTACATTACCTGAGGATGCTTCCATATAAATATGACTCATCATGGCTTTGCTGTTCTTGAGAAGAAGTTTTTTCCTATATATTTCTATGTAAAACTTTGATAGTCCATTGTGGCCCCGCCTTACCCCCGGGGGTCATGATTTGAACAAACTTGAATCTACACTACCTGAGGATGCTTCCATATAAATATGACTCATCATGGCTTTGCTGTTCTTGAGAAGAAGATTTTTAAAGATTTTTCGTATATATTTCTATGTAAAACTTTGATCCTCCATTGTGGCCCCGCCCTACCCCCGGGGGTCCTGATTTGAACAAACTTGAATCTACACTACCTGAGGATGCTTCCACATAAATATGACTCATCATGGCTATGCTGTTCTTGAGAAGAAGATTTTTAAAGATTTTTACTATATATTTCTTTGTAAAACTTTGATCATCCATTGTGGCCCCTACCTACCCCTAGGGGTCATGACTTGAACAAACTTGAATCTACACTACCTGATGAATGCTTCCACATGAATTTCATCTTTCAGGCCCTGTAGTTCTTGAGAAGAAAATTTTTAAAAGATGCTATTAATTTTTCACTAATTCTTTATTATCTCCCCTTGAAAGAGGGCATGGCCCTTCATTTGAACAAACTTGAATCCCCTTCACCCAAGGATACTTTGTGGCAAGTTTGGATGAAATTGGCCCAGTGGTTCTTGAGAAGAAGTCGAAAATGTGAAAAGTTTACAGACAGACAGCTAGACAGACGGATGGACGGACAGCTAGACAGACAGACGGATGCTGGAGAAAAAGTGATCAGAAAAGCTCACTTGAGCCTTTGGCTCAGGTGAGCTAAAAATGATTGGCAGATGGTAAAGGTTGAGTTTGGCATTATATTGTTTTTTTTTTTAGTGTGTACAAAAATCTGTTCTAAACATTTCTATTTCTATGATGTAAGTGGAGTGGAGATAAACAAACGGCAACATACCAATGTAACAGTCTATATATACAAACTGATTTATCAATATGTCAATGTTTTGATATATCTCAAATGATAAACACATTGAAAAAAAGAAATCATATCATATCCCCCCTTCCCGGATGAACAATTTACCTGTACACAATAGTAACAGAAGAGGTGGGGACAGCCGATTTCCTGGGGGTTTGTGGGTACGTCCTCACACACAGCACATTCCATCACCCTTAGGCCATCCTGGGCAGGGTCCTCATGTCTTGGCAGGACGTGACGATGCACAAAGTTCTTCACTCGTTGAAAATTGATCAGAGGAAGGGTGAAAAATAGAAATTCCTTTAAAAAAAATAATGAAAATTAGGTTTAATTGGAAAGCTCACTTTGAAAAGCTAGATATACATGTGTGTAGAATGTCTTAATTGTTGTACACTCAGTAAAAGAAAAAAATATGAAACTTTAATACATAGCTGTATTCATTTTGTTATAACTTACAGAAAAACCATGCCAGAGCAGCTCCCGACTCATGTATTCAAAACTGACCTGCAAAAATATTGATATCTGATGGAATGATTGAATACTATTAAAAGACAACATTCTCCTTACCAAAGATTTAATTTTCAACTTTAAAATATACATGTTCATATAAGTCCTATACTTGAGTGATTATAAATTCAAGACATATAATTATATGCAAATCTTTTACAACACATTAGGATATTTCTGTAGAATTTGATGAAGCACCTGTCGGATTCCTTGTCTGTTGGGGAACATTGCCTGGATTCCTAGCACCCTCTCTGCTATTGTCTGATACAATCCTCCCTGCAGGAACACCAGAAAGTTTACAACTGCTGCTACTTTCAGACTAATGTCCAGCCATTTTAAAAATTTTCGTATCTAAAGTGACAAAAGCACAAAATTTATTTTCATTTCAGTGTATTCTTTCATTTGGAACAAAATGTAACAAAAGTTGCCTGTTTGCTTTTCTACATAGATGTGGCACATTCATATGGTTTGAAGACAGTTAAAAAAATAAACCATTACAGTTTCTAAAAACTGTTATTGCAGCAACCAGTAACCACAATATCATATCCTGAACAATTCTATCATGTCATCCTTGCTATTATAAAATATTATCCAAACGCTCACACCAATTTTACATTTATTGATTCAGGTTTCTTAAACACTGAGTTTTTCACACAAATTCATGAAGAAAATCAATGTTTTTTTTCCTTTTAGTCTGTTCATTTACCTGCAATTGATACTGAGATAATCCCAAAACATTAACTAAGTTATCTGCCCTTTCTCTCAGCCATGGACAGAAGATTAGAATGAGTCCATACAGAATTTTCTGTCTTCTGCTCATCCATGATGTCTGCTGAGTGGTACCACTGTACTTCAGGTTCAGAATCTGTTGCCCAATGGTGCTGTCATGTACATAAATAGTGAACTGAAACAGAAAAAATAAGAGTTATTTCCCTTCTTCTGCAAGGTGCACAGAGATTCTTCACATCATTGTTAAAAATATCAATCAAACTCTTATGTGTTGTAATATTTATCATTTATGCACAATTGCTATGATACATTGGAAAAGACACATATGTAATAATTTTTTTTTTTTTTTTTGCATTTTTTTAAAACAGTAAATCAACTGTTACTCAGTGTGACCTTTTTCTTTTTCAAAAATACACTTAAAATCAGGATCACAATCAAATTTAAAAAAAATAATTGGTCATAAAATGTTAAAGCTCAGAAATTGATTTAAATGTCCAGAAGAGTATAGCTGTAACAAGATTTTCATCATCATTAAATTATAGGGTTGAGTTTCAAAGTATAGTATTTAAATCTACCTGACTGCTCTGACTGATTTTTTACAATATCAATTTAAAACTTTTCCCCACATAACTGTGAATGTGGTACTTGTCTGAATTTTTGAGTCATTATTGTATTTAAATGCTTCATTCATTGACAACCATCTTCAAGCTCAATCTTGCCCCCCATTGTTCACCATTACCTCTCCCTACATAACAGATCCCCCATTACTCTTGTGACTTACCAAGCCCATTAAGATTGCTAACACAGTAAACAATTTATTTGATTACCTTAATGAAAAGACCATTGTCAGATTTTTAGAACTTAAAAAATTTAAATCTAACAAAAAAGCTCAGCCTTTCTGTGAAGTTTAACCAATATGGAGAACAGCATCACAAAGAGAATATCTGTGGGGAAACGTCAAACTTTAATCACAAGGACCAGTCAATACCAAAATGATGTCATGGAAACCCAAACTCAGTCCTCTGAATCCTCTAAAACCAGTGGCTATGAAAGCTTTACCAATGGAAGTGTCTACAATGGTCAGCAAAGTACCACCCAATCAGCATCACTTTTACAAGGTCAAGGTACAGATTTGTTACAGTGCAGTGGATTGGACAAAGTAACATCACATGTGAGTAAAACATCACTTTCCAGACCCTGACTCTAATTTTGCTGACTTAGCTATATAGCAGATGTATAATTAGAAACAATGCAAAACAATACTATACTCCCAAGTGGTTGCATGTATCTATGCAAGTTCTGTCTAAAGAATCCCCAACCTCATCTTGTAATCTACCGTAATCTAAAATGTGCTGCTAAAAAGACATCCATTAATTAGAAGTTGAAAAAGAAGTCTCTGATGAGACTGTAGCTTTAATGGTTTGTACTAATATAAAAGAAAGAGGAAGGAGAATTTGGATTTGAAACACTTTTTATTATTTTACATTAATTTTACAGAATTATATATCCTGATGTTTTCTACACAGACTTGTACCAAGTTTTGTTACAATCAAATCTAAATGACAGAAGTAACATTTGAAGGATTTTCCATATTGTGTATCTAAGGCAACAACATTAACTGAAATTAAATGTCTTATTGGTAGCTTAATATACATGTACTTGGTTTTATTGAAATCAGACCAGAACCATATATTTATTGAATAAATTTCACACTTTATTTTTATTAACGAGTTCTGCAACATATTTCCTCCAAATTTCACTTTTTATTATAGTGTATGTATTAAACCTGCATTCAACATCCCTGGAATCAGAATAGTTCAATTTGTAGAAGCACTTGAAAGAATTTCATAGAAATTACTATTTTAGTTATGTACCATAGCAGAACTGTTTGTCTAAATCAAATGACAATTATAAAAGATTTGGGTATTTTAGTGTCGTCTAATTATAGTGACACTGAGTATTAAAGAAATTGGACCAAATCTGTACAAGAAGTAGCATTTTTGGGAAAAAATAATCATAGAAATTTATAATTTTAGTAATAATGGCAACATTAAAGTAGTTCATCAAAATTAAAAACTGATAAACAAAACATGTATTTTGGTAAAGTCTACCTGTGTACAAACTTTTTGAAAAAGAAACAATTTATAAGAGGCAACTTTTCAAAAAAAAAAATCCATTTGTCAAGTTAAGTAACAATAATTTGTAATCAATCAGAGCCCAAGTACAATTTTCATCATAATTTAAAACTAGAGGTACTGTGAGCACTGAGCTCACAAAATGATAACCCCTGCTCCCATATAGGAGTATTTAATGGCAAAATCCATGTTTTGCTACGGAAAAGAATATCTGTCTGATCAAAACATAAAACAGGATTTGCACAATGAAACTATGTAATAAAGATTCTAGGAAAGTATCATTAAATTTTATTCAGTGATATAGGAGGAGTTGTGGATGAGAGATGGGTACCCCCAGTATTATAGAAAGAGTGGCAGTGTCCATGTTTTCCTATGGGAAACCCAAAATATGTGTCTAATTAGAGCATAAAATAGGAGTTGTACATTGGCACTATGTAATAAAGATTCTGTGAAAGTCTCAATAAATTTTATTCATTGGTATAGATAAGAGATGGGTACCCCTAAGCAGAACGGACAGATGGAGACCCCATCACTACATACCCCCACTTTTCAATCAGGGAGTATAATAAAAGCCTTGATTCAGGATAACATCAATACAATATCATAGTAATATCAGACCAAGACTGGAAAAATATGTGTAATGTATAGAGAAACAGAAATGATAGAAATGAAATGACCTAAGCTGCAAGTTGTTATAAGTCAATACACCCTGGCTCTTATCAAAGGTTCATGTACTTTATATAGTGAAACAGGTGTCTAATCCGACATGCACTGGGAGACAAGTTATGTGTTGGAATAGACAGGGTGTCAGATTATACATTGTAAAATGACATGATAAATAGTACACTGCATGGGAATGAAAATAAAGGTCAGAATTCAAAGTGTAACAGATTGCACAGGTGTTGGATTAGATAGTTTTCACTGTATATATATATATATATATATATATATATATATATATATATATATATATATATATACACACATTCAACATGTATTTTCCTTATAAAGTGTGAGGAAAGCTACGGTACTCAAACCACCATAACACAGACAGGGGGTCAAAAGGTTAAAAGTATGCGTTTTATTTTGACGTCACAAACGTTCAACGCCATGGAAGTGCAACGTCATAAACGAAAATCAAAATTCACGCTCACATTGAACAGAAGCTGTTGCAAAGGCTCTTCCATTAATTATAACTTACCCAAAGGATAATACAGGGATTTTGAAATATAAATCACATTTGCAGTCAAGGTAAGGAGTTAAAAAATGTTAATATAAGCATTAAATCATTATTTTTTTAAAGATATAGTCTCATAACTGCAACGGTGTGTGCAAGCAAATTTTCATAACGCGCTAACGCGCGTTACTCAATTTCTTTGCACGCACCATTGCAGTTATGAGACTATACCTTTCAAAAAATAATGATTCAATGCTTAAATATACAACTGTATATGAAAGTATACAGTACATGAATTTACTTCACTTCAAACACTCATGTATATTTATTTGAAAGACACATAAAACTGCTTGCTGGTCTCTCACTTAGAGGATCATGAGGATTGTAAAATCAGAATCGTAAAATATTGATCATTTCCCACTGTTTCTGAGAAAAACAAATAAATTGTATTTAAGACAGGAACAGGATAACCATGTACATTATATGTCAAGATAATTATACACCTTGTACAGGTTAATGATACCTTGTACTTAAAGCTAGTGAATAATTCAAGATCTGGGTTAGGTCTGAAGAAATTGCCTGCACTGATATTCTGGTCAGATATTCATTCTGTATAGTTAATTTAAGTTATTTTGATATTGTTACATGTACTATTATGAGCAGTAAGCTGTATATTTATTAATACCAAATCTAAATTACTGAGAGGTGTAGCAATTCCTACAAACTTCATTAAGCATTAATTGATAAGTCACATACCAGGGTACATACAAGGCATGTACTTTAATACATGTTGAATATCATTTGAGACTGGAATATTAATGAGGTACACTTCCAGTATTTCATGCATAAATCTTGTTGTTCATAAAATATTGATAATGAGCACACACAATAAACCATAACATTTTGCAAAATGTTTGCTTGCACCCCATCATGATACAATGTTATGATTTCGGATTTTTAGAAATGCCAAACATAAATTTTCATCATAGCCGGTGGATATATTTTTTCAAATCTTCAAATCATCTGCTGATTCTTGAAAAATGCCTATTAAACTATTAAAAACTATTCATGTTTTATTTAAAGTACCATAATATTAACTAGATATTGATCAATGTTTGTGCAATGTGACAGAAAGATAGGATCTCAGACACTTAAGATAAAGAAAATCTTTACACAGCTAAAATCGTAGCTAAATCATATCAAGTAGTTCCCAACTACCACCCAGAGCCTTGTCTAAGATATTTATTTTATCCACCACAAATCGTCTGATCTCAAAATACATGTCCTTCACACATTTACTATTCTAATCCTCGTTGTAGAAGAAATGTCATTCAAAAAAAAAAAAGAACAAATACACCAGAACTTTTTTTTCTTTCAATATCTGTTGGAAATTTGTTACATATCTTAAAAGATTTAGGAAATGGCTATAAAGATATGATAGGGATTGAATTTATACCTTTTTGTGTTTATTTACAGTATTTGTCAAAGTCAAGCTGTAAAATTTATTCTCAGTCTGGCTTTGGGGTGTAGTGTTATACATCTTTTATAGTATGTTTCATTGTAGCAAAATGATTGTTGCTCATTTTAGCTGTAAATAACGTTGTCAGTCTCCAGTGTCCAATATGACATTTGTTTAAAATCATATATCACGTATTTTTTATAAGTTCAGACTAGCTAAAATTAAAAAGATCTTTCTATTTGTTTTATTAATTCATATAAGCATAGGACTTTCCTGTAAATTACACAATTTAAATCAATTCAAAGATATTAGAAATTTAAAACAATAACCGATTTATTTACCCACTCCGCATTTAATTAATAGACACAGTTTAAAATCAATTTAACTATGGAAACATGAGGTTATTCAAGTTCAAAATCAGTAAAAATTTTAATTTGAACATAAATAACATATATCATGTTTATCTGCACTCAATCTCGTATTTTTATTTTTTAGCTCAGATACGCCATATACAGCTTTAAACAAATCATGATATTACTAATATGTATAAATTTAGATTAAACATTTGAAAATTATATTTCAAGTTAATATTTTAATACAGTTAACTTGTTATTAGTTCACATCTAAATGCTACAGCTGCAGAGTGCATTCTAAAATGTTTCAACCGGTAAATAACATTTGTAGTGTTTTCTTGTTTTATTATGTTCTTAATCATGATTCAATGTATGCAAATATATTAGCATGCTGTGGCATGAAATTTAGCTATTGAAGTACAAAGACTGTGTATTTAACATTCAGCTGTGCACACTAAGCTCTTATTATTAGTTTGCCGACACTTAATCAGCCGATTGAGCGATATATTTAAATAAACAATTGTGAAGGGTAAAACAGTCTTGATATTTTAGAACATAAGTAAAACCCAGTACAAGGTACCATGATTTCTTGTTAGATATATTCAATTTATTTTCCTACATTTAAGTCTTTTTTTTTTTTTTGTTTATACTCAAACAAAATTAATGTCTGATTTTGTTTGTTTGCATATCTTTATCTACCAGTTGTTTAAAAAAAATCAATTTCAGATATATTATTCAAATTTTCAAATTCATTCCAATAGGTGTATTTCAAGTGTAATGTTTTCTGCTCTCTCTATTTTCATGGTTGGATTTTAAAGATTCAACATATACTGGGTAGCTTTAAACATGATAATAGACAATCATGCTCTAAATTTCAATTAAAATAAACCTATAAAGTATCCTGCTAGAGAACAGTGTTCATTTAAAATGTGCCTTATGGACTACCAATATTTCCTGCTATCGGCAAATCATCAAACTGAAAGTAATACAGATTTCCAACTTTGCATTCTGAGTCTCTCCAGATTTACCTTAATTCTTCACTGATAAGCATGGAGAACAAGATCAATGAATGTACCTGCAGTACACAATGAATCGATTCCTCTACCTTATTGGGAAAAAATCACTTAGAATTGGCACACGGCCATTTATACTGAGGAAACATGTGGCACTTAAAGTGACATAACCTTACATGACTTATTTGAAATAACAAGTGTTTGTCCATTTAAGATAAAAATACAGCATTGTGCAGCATTCAGAAGTGGACCATTTTCATTTTTTTTTAAAAAAGGGACACTGACATTCTTTGATTCTGTGTAGAAAAATTTGCATAATTCTGGAAATTTCAAAAGCTAAATATGGATGACAGAGACACTCAAGAGGCCAGTCAAGAGGTGATGAATGGCAGTGGGGCCTCAGGCAGGGAATCTGATGAAATCCCTGAGAAAATTATTATTGGGAGTGGGGCTACCAGTGGGCGAAGTTCAGCTGCAATAGAAATAGATGACATGGAAAATGGCAAGGATTTGCATGATGAGAAAGAAGACGAAGATACCGCTGAATCAAGAAGTCAGAATGAAAGTGCATACAGGTCACCAATAACTTGTCTTCAGGCTCAGGAAAATGAGTATGAAGATGATTTTGACACTGAATCAGAAGATGAGGAGAGGAGTGATGATAAAAGAAGACAGATGGATGGAAGTGATGATGATGACAACATAGGCAGTGTCAGTGATGGAGATGGAGATGTTTCCATTGATAATATTCAGAATGGGTATCTGGGACTGCAAGATAAAGAAAGGGCTCCTAGCTCTAGCACTGATGAACTTATGGCTGGCTACAAAGATGGGGGCTCTGTGGTTAGTGACATGTTTTCTGACTTCACAGGACGATACCACTCCCAGCCTAACACCTCCAATTCTGACCCCATGTCCACAAATCTTGGATCTAAATTTGACCGTTTGAGGTCAGCCTACACTCGTCCATCAAAGCAAAAACCACCAGCTCATTCAGTTGGACTGCCACAAGTTCAAAGGTCAAGGCCATCCTATGGTTATTACATGGAACCTGATGAATCTAAGGTATGAAAATATATGTAAGAAGAAAATAAGTATGCACTGAGTGCTGGTAATTCAATTAGAGCATCAAATAGACAACATGTACCTATAGTATCATATCTACCAGTACATGTCTTTTTAAAGCATTATGTAATTTTGACTTGGACACCAATACATTCTATTTTGTGATTCCTAGCAATACCTTCATAAATCATATAAATCCAAAAACCTCCTTAAAGCAAAGACAATACTAGGATAGTAAAACAATTTGTTGTTAAGCAGCAGCAAAATATGCATGATCAATATTGCCTTCTCTGAATTCAACACTTTAAGGATGTCTGCTTCTGTGTTCATTGCTTAATATATCAATGAATGCAATTTATACATGTTTAATATTTTGTATACATATTACATGTACATGTATTTAAAATATTTGATTCAAACCATATTTATATTATAATTTTTATTTCTTGAAACTTAGTTTCCCATTCAATGCTCCTCATGTCTATTAATGAATAAGAAACATATAGCAATCTAGCATTATAAATATATGTAAATGCAAGTAGTGAAACACAGGAAAAGTCATGGATGTTTGCACAAAATATTGTGTAACAAGCTAACTCAGAGAATTTGTGTCCCTAGCTTAAGGAAAAAAGAAGAGGGTGGAAGAACTAGAAAAAAATTGCAGATGGAAAAAAAGGGTCAACGTTCAGCTTTCAGCTTTTGGCCTTAAAGTCAATAGGATTCTTTTTAAAGTTAAAGAAATTCATGAACTTGCATTTTGCATAATCTTACAGAAAAACTAAAATCATTATCTGAAAACTCTATATGCAATACATATTTCTGACCTTAACCTTTGCTTTTTTTAAGGCCATGGGGAGCTGTGATATAAAATTTCTTTACAAAATCTCAAAGTATTTATAGAATATAGTTTGGGAAAAAAGTGTAACAAAGACAGAATGAATTTATGACCTTGACTTCTGGCCTTTTTACCATAAAATCTATAGGGTTCTTCTTAAGGCCACAGGGAGTTGTGATATTAAATTTTATCAAAGAAAGCTGAAAGAAAACTAAAGTCATCATCTGGAAAATGTTATTTGCAATATATGAATTTATTACCTTGACTTTTTGACCTCAAAATCAAAAGGGTTTTCTTTAGGCCATATGGAGTTGTGATATATAATTTCCTTTCAAAAGCTAAAAGACATTTTAAGATATCATCCTGAAACAAAAGTATTACACACAAACAGAATGTATGAATTTTGACCTTGACCTCTGACCTTTTGACCTCAAAATTGATAGGGGTCTTCCTCATGGCATAAGGAGTTGTGATATTAAATATTATTGAAGGAAGCTCAAAGAAAACTAAAGTTATCATATGGAAAATGTATATAACATATGATTTTTGACCTTTGACCTTTTGATCTTAAAATCAAAAGGGATCTTCTTTAGGCCATAAAGAGTTGTGATATGAAATTTCATTACAAAAGCTCAAAGACTTTTAAAGATATTGCCCGGAAACAAAAGTGCTATACACAAACAAAAGAATAAATTTATGACCTTGACCCTAGACCTTTTAACCTCAAAATCACTAGGAGTCTTCTTTAGGCCATAGGGAGTTGTGATACAGAATTTCATTGCAAAAGCTCAAAGGCTTCTTAAGATATCATCTGGAAACGAGTGTTGCACACAATCAGAATGTATAAATTTATGAACTTGACCTTTTACCTTTTGACCTTGAAATCAATAAGGTCTTCGTTAGGCCCCATGGAGTTGTGATATGAAATTTCATTGCAAACGCTCACAGGTTCTTGAGACATCATCCCAAAATGAAAGCGTTACACACAGACAGAATGTAAGAATTTATGACATTGACCTTTGACCTTTTAATCTCAATACAAATAAGGTCTTCCATAGGCCTCATGGAATAGCAGCATAAAATTTCATTGCAAAAGCTCAAAGGCTTCTTGAGATATTGCCCAGAAACAAAAGTGTTACACAGAGAGAGAATGTAAGAATTTATGACCTTGACCTTTCAACTTTTGACCTCAAAATCAATAGGAGTCTTCTTTAGGCCACATGGAGTTGTGATATAAAATTACATTGCAAAAGCTCAAAGGTTTCTCAAGATATCATCAGGAAACGAGTGTTATTTATACACACAGATAGAAGTACAGCTAGACAGACGGAAAGACAGACAGACCCAAATTAATACCCCCCCTCCACTTTCAGTGAAAGCGGAGGACAAAAATATTTGCTTTTCAACATAGCAGTGGTTACTGTTCCTTAACAAAACTAGGGAAAATTCTGTAAAGGATAAGTACTGCATGTACATGTACTATCACAATTTTAACATCTACAGTTTCTCTCAAATAATTTTCATGCTTATGATGAATTTCTTCTTTGTGAACACATTTACTTAGAATATTATTCACATGCACATGCTAGGGATATTCAGTCCTCTAGTTTGTATACATGCAATAATATAAATAAATCCATTAAGATTAACCATCCAAACATAGAGTCAGCTCCAATAAGATGTGCAAAAAGTAAGACAAGGTCCTAGGGACCACCTAAGACATACAAGTATGTATAGGATGAACACTGAAAATGATGAGCTTCCTTGCAGCTCAAAACATGAGTCTTATCTTATAAAACATGTATTGTTTTCACTTGCCAATGCATGAACATTTGCATCATTTATAATCTTATCATAGACATGATGGACATATGTACTCAGCAGTTTGAATTTTTTTTACTATGTTGCATCAAGGTATACAGTAATTCAGATTGTTTTATGATCCATTTAACTAGCTACATTGCATACTCACTGATAATGAATCTGAACCACTTTTAAAAAATACTGAGATCTTAAGTGTATTTAATTCTTTATTCAACAGTAATTTGCATGCAATAGAAATACATGGATACTTTTCTTGTATATGTACTGGTACATGTTGTACTGAATTTTTTCATTGTTGAATTATGAGTATCCATTTTCCAATCTACTACTTGTTTAAATGGAAGATTTTTAATTTAGAATATCTGACATTTTAGAGTACGTTCTGAACGATTTTAAGCAGGGTAAAACTGATACAATCTGCTTGGCACGTTTTAAGTTCAAATAGGGTCACCTATCACAGCTTGATAAGAGACTGTTGAAAACTTAACAATGCTGCATTAAATTCTTTGTATAAAAATAATTAAACAGCTAGCTTAGATATCCCTGAGAAACAGCATATATTTAAATCATTAACTGAATTTAAATTATTGCGCAGTATCATTTAAAACTTGTGATTCAGCATTTAATTTTTATTTATTTTTTTTTTTTTTTTGCATGCAGTGAAATAAATCACAGACGTTAAAACAATATGTCACAGACATTAAAACTCAGTTTATATGTAATAAACTAGTATGTGTGTCAAAGTTACAGTATATGCTTACTAAATATTTGTGCCTTTCTCGTACAAGTATACATTTATCATATGACATCAGCAGATAAAAGATCGGATAAAAGGAAACAAATCTTAAATCAATAGACAAGAACAAAACAAATTCTCCTTTTGGTTAGACAATGTTTTTTTTCTTAACTTCATGCAGAATGTGTCTCTTTCTCTCACATTAAACATGAACTTGATGTAACATCATAAACACTGCCTGCAGACTTTTTTTATATATGAGGATAAAAAGGCTATGCTAATATTTTTTGTACACTTGCAAGAAGACAAGTCTTCTCCAACTCAATTACCCCATTTTCTTATAAAATCAATCAGAAATGAGATACCATAGTCAGTAACTTTCAGTTTTCCTGTTCATCAATCAATAGTTAATTGAGATTTTATTGATTACAATGTATGTTATGTTTCTACTGGTTGTTGCTCGCTGCAGTTAAACAATGAAATAACTCACACCTTGTATTGATTACCCATAGCTTTATCTCTTGCATATCCAAAAATTTATTATATATTTATAAACAGTCTAGATATATACATGTTTATATTTTAATGTTGCAATTATAAACAATTCTGCACATAGAAATTGCTGACATGTCTAGGCACCATGATTGATTTGATTTTTCGATGTAACATAAACCATTTCTCTACTAAGCTTTTACACATCTAGCAGTCTTGATAGCACAAGTAATTCAAATGATGTAATATAAACCATTTCTCTACTAAGCTATTACACATCTAGCAGTCTTGATAGCACAAGTAATTCAAATGATGTAATATAAACCATTTCTCTACTAAGCTATTACACATCTAGCAGTCTTGATAGCACAAGTAATTCAAATGATGTAATATAAACCATTTCTCTACTAAGCTATTACACATCTAGCAGTCTTGATAGCACAAGTAATCAAAGAGAAATTGAAGAAGTAAAATATTGTAACATCCAGATTGATTCTTTATCAAATTTTCAGTGGCAATTTATGTAGAATGACATTCTCATTTCATTCACTTTTATTAAATGATTAATTATTCACCTGTATACACATGTATGAAAAATGCATTCTATAGTTTCTAAGATAAACAAAATGCAGAAAATGATCAAATGCATGTACAAGTCTTTCAGTATATCTATTTAATTTTTTAAATTTTGGCTCTTGTAATTTCTATAATCTCAAAGAATAAAATTGTTTCAATATTGATTTTTTAAGCATATATTTTAATATGTTTTATTGTTTAACTCCTCTTTCAATTCTTTTATTTGTCAATCTATAAAGCTAAGAGATTTATCTTTTTTTTTCTCAAAATGAGCACCTTTGTCATATATTTTTCTTGCACTCCTCAATTCAAAGCTTCAAGGGAGAAAACTCACATATATCATTCAATTATCCTCTTATCAATAATTCTTTATCTTTGAAAGCATTTATCAAAAGGTAATAAGTAAATGTTTCTATGTCAAACTAAACAGAAGTGTACATATCACATGAACAATATCAGCTTAGTGAGCAATTACTTAAAAAGTATTTTAAAACTTGTATATTTAAATCAATTAAATTTCCATTTAACCATACAGAT